CTGGGTCTTAACGTACCACGCGCTTCGTAATTTGCATGCAACATACATATTTTCCAACACTGTCGACAGATATTGCACGATATCCACCACGAAACCACTCCCCGCGTCCCACCGTTATCTCGACAAGCTGACCTGTTGATCAACCAACGACGCAAGGATGAAGCTGCGTTCCAATACGAGGTACACCCTGTACGCCAATGAAATCAATCACCATTGTATGTGGACAGTCTTGCCGCCTGAGATTCGCCTGATGATTCTGGAACAGCTCGAGAGGGTGAAAGAGAAGCATGACTACTCCATGTGGGCAAGTGTTTCCTGGGAATGGCAAGGTTTCTTCGAACGTGAAAACTTTAGCCGCATTAAAGTTTCACTCCCCGGCCCCGATGTAGATGAAATGGATCGAATCGTATATGGATACCGCAGAAATTTCGTCAAAGAAATTCGGCTCTATGTATGTCTTGAGAAATATGACGCTATCAACAAATTTGACAAACAGGAGACCAAGAAAACGATCAAAGGAAACAACAAGATCTTTTCCCAAGCGCTGGATAAAAAATTTCAGCTCCCTTTCTAAATGGACGAGTGACGTGTCTACAGGCGGCATCAAGCTCGGGTTCGGCGCCGGCTCCCCAAGCGATGCAGATCACCCTGCACGAAAGGTCCGTCCCAGAGGAGGGGTTCAACGTACACCCCGTGTTTTATCTCTAAGGTCCAAACGACGTCTACTCGGCAACTTGCTACACCTTATTTCTGGGGCTCTCAAGCCCCCACGGGCTCCCATTGTTAAAACTTTCCATGTATGGCATCTTGGTCTCAGGAGTCTTTCAAGAGCCGCGTTAGCGAGAGTTTTCTCAAGCCTATGTTGTCTCGAAAGGATCCACTACGTCCCATTGCGAGCTGTTGGTCCACGGAATCAAGACTTTGATCGCGACGAAGCAATGCGGAGTTTGCTCGAATGCGCGGGATATGCTACTTCGGGCAAACGAGTGCACATTTGGGAAAAGCCGTTGCCTATACATTGGGGGCCTCACACCTCCAAACCCATTAATGACGCTTTCGTCTCATCTGCGGTAGATGCAAGCTATAAGCTCGAAGAATTATTGATATTCAACGCTATCGACGCCAAGGACTTCTTTCGACACGCGTCAAGGGAGGTGCCGGAAAATCTTGCTGGAGCATCGACTGGCTTCCATACCTGGAAAACCCTCAAATGGCTGGAATTATCAACGGACTTTGGTGGCCTGGACCCCAATCTATCAACTTTTGACCACCTCCTCTTCGAAGCAAGCCGAGCTGCTTTGCGTATGCCGTTACTAGAAAAGATGCAAATATTGTCGCGAGGTTCCGAAGGTAAGAGCTGGGCCTTCAGCTACAAGGTTCTAAATGGCTCGGCACAGCTTTGTGTGATATCCACTCAGCAGCTCTCTCTTAGCAAGAAGACCATTGCATCCTGGAACTTGGTAGCATCTCCTTATGCGCGCCGTGGAATCGCCATCTGCACAAGGAAGATCACGCCAGAGAGAGCATTGAAGTTACACTGGGGATAGAATTGAGGTCAGCACACTGGTGGAAGTAGTTGGAGTGACTTTTGGGAATTCAAGAATACAGCACAAGTATACATACAGCTCTTGTACAGGAAGTGATTCAACCTGTTCATCTCGAGTGTTGAAATTACGGTTTAAATTAAGTCAACATACCCACTTCCTGGCCCCCCCCTCCGCCCTGTTTCTGGCATCCACAAAAACGCGAAAATCCACCACAACACAATGCCCACCCCCAACCTCCTTCTATCACAACATTTTCAATTCGCGTCCAAATGGGCTCATCTTTTGCACATAACTTCTTCTATATCTAATGCCTCAATATACCGAAGATCAGTTTCGTCAGGCTCTCGAGGACATCTCAAACGGCAAGAGTCAAAAGAGAGCCTCATTGGAGTATGGGATACCACGATCAACCCTCCAACTACGTCTCCAAGGTGGTCAGACTAGGAAACAGGCATTTTCTGACCTGCAGAGGCTGTCTCCTGACCAAGAGAGCAAGCTGGCATAATGGGTTCGTATTCAGGCTTCGCTGGGCCTCGCACCAACGCACCAACAGGTAAAGGAATTCGCCGAACGAGTCCTGCTTGCTGCTGGGGATACCAGACCACTGGGAAAAGGCTGGATCCATGCCTTTATTAAAAGGAACCCTATCATTAAGGTTCAGAGAAGTCGTTCTATCGATTCTAGACGCGTTAATGGGGCATCCACTGAGGTCATTAGGAACTGGTTTAAGTTCCTTGCTATCCCTGAGATCAAGGACATCAAACCAGCCAACAGGTATAATATGGATGAGACTGGCATCCTCGAGGGCCAGGGAGCTAATGGGTTAGTGTTGGGCATGGCTGAGACGACGTCTGTTCGCAAGAAACAGCCTGGGTCGAGGGCATGGGTGTCTATCATTGAGTGTATCTCAGCCCTGGGCAGGGCACTTCGTCCTCTTATCATTTTCAAGGGGAAGACAATCCAACAGCAGTGGTTTCCATTACATCTGGATCCATACGATGGGTGGGAGTTCACAGCAACAGATAATGGCTGGACTACAGACTTAACTCCCATTGAGTGGTTGGAGAAGGTGTTTATCCCCCAGACTATCCCTGAGACTGAGGGGGAGGCTCGACTGCTTGTTGTGGATGGGCATGGGAGTCATACGACGACAGACTTCATGTGGAATTGCTATATGAACAACATCCATTTAGTGTTCTTACCACCTCACTCCTCTCACGTCCTCCAACCTCTTGACCAGTCTGTCTTCAGCCCAGTTAAGGCAGCCTATCGGAAGGAGCTCGGTTACCTATCTCAATGAAACGACTCTACCATTATAGGCAAAAGGAACTTCCTGGACTGTTACCAGAAGGCTCGGCTTGCTAGTCTATCAGTCTTAAATATTAAAAGTGGTTAGAAATGGACTGGTCTACACCCTGTGGCTATGGTTAAGCCCCTGATGAACCCCCTACTACTACCCACCCCTCCTACCAAACATACCACCCCCAAACCAGCCAGCCAGGGCAGAAAGAGATGCCACAATGGTCAACCAACTACCCCAGTTGAGTCATGGGATTCTGCCACCTCTGTAGTGGCCTGGTCGACACCCAGGAAGCTGGCAGAGCTCAGCGGTCAACTACACTTATACACTCAACTCGACAATGATACCAGCACCCAACGGCTGCTGTTCAGGAAGATGAAAAAAGGCTTCACAGAGCAGGCCTGGCAACTGGCAACTGCCCACCAGCAACTGGCCCTTCTGAGGGCTCAAGTTACCAACGCTGCAGTGAGGAAGAGGAAGGTTGTTCAAGTTGATCCTAATACGAAGTTCGCGAACATCAGGGATATCCACCGAGCTCAAATCGAAGCGGGTGAAAAGGAGGTGATCACGGCTGAATCCAGCGAATCTGATTGCCCTAGTGAGGCTGGCAGTTGTATTGTAGTGGGTGAGGTTGAGGATCAATAGTTATTAGTAATGAGGAGGTTGGGTTGTGATCCCATCGTTTTTGTGGTGCCAGAAACAGGGGGGGGGGCCAGGAAGTGGGTATGTTGACTTACCATCCTTAAGACCGAGTGGAGCTGATTAATCCGGAGAGTCTACCATTGACGAACGAGCAAATAATCGGGCTTAGCCACGACTCGTTGAATCTTTAGATAGGACGAAAATATCAATATTTGATGAAGAATATCTCGGTATCTTCCCGCTACCCAATTCAAATAAACGCAGTATGAATAGCTGGCAACGAAGTCTCGTCTACTCGTAACAACGCATTTGTGTTTGGCTGAATCCTTGTCCAGAACACCAGGACAGAGAACAAGAACAGGCTGACCATACTTCAGGTTGCTCACAAGCAGCAGACCTGATCCAGACTCAGACACTCAACCCTACCCACGACATCGTCTAGAGCATGATGCCTTTCTGGCTGGGACATGTGTGAGCGTGGCGGAGTCCCGCCGCGATGGCGCTAATCTCTGGTGGTGCAAATCTTTTTGGGTTCACTGCAACTTTAACCCCCCCAAGGACTTCATTCAGTCAATGTCTCCTTTTGGGGGATACTCTCCGACCCCCCACCACCATGGCAACGAAGTGTGGCGAAAACTCCCTTCACCGCGATTTTCTGACCTTCAAGGAGGGGATCACAGTGGTTGAGGGGCATTGCATTAAGGATCTGCGTAGTGTCATTGCCAATGTCAGTGGTGTCGTGAGCGCCTCTGCCCTGTTTCACTTTCACTGCGTTCTTACCCCGCCTCAGGGCTTCAACACCACAATTGCGTAGAGACCAAACTACCTACATGTAAGTATGCGTTAAGCTCTTTGCCCGCATCGCATCTCAACCCAAGACGACATGTTCCGGTATTCCCTTATTGAGGCCGACTCAGAAACAAGTCAACTTGCGACGCACTAGTTTTCAGAATATTCCAGGGCTTTCGCGGGCTAATTAGGTCGGAATGTCGGACTTGCGAGTCAAGACTTCAGACCCACTCGTTACGAAGACGCTTTGCTACGGACGACTCATGGCAATACCGGCTTGAGAAGTCTTCCCAGTGTCAACCCTGAACCTCGCGTATCCGCAGCGATCAAAAAGTCCTCTGCAATGTTGTCGTAGCTTCCACGGGACGCACATAATCATCCATTTGCTATCGAACAAGGCGGCATGTACTTTCATCTCTGACAACTTCCCGCAATAGCCCCTACGGATGAACGGCAACTATTTTCTCTTAAATGAAATTGCTTAAGCTTCTGGCCACGGCGGCTACAACCGAGTAGGCTGAGATGCCAGAAACTCAAAGGTTGAGAACATTTACGTGTAACATGGTGTCCAGTCCTGTGTCTCTATGACACGAAGAAAGACCAGATGAACACGAGCACATTTCCTCACTTTTTGCACCAATGGCATCACATAACACATGTCAAACCTAAAGGGTGTTCGATCTTCTACTGTTTGTTTGTTTGTTTGTTTTATATTTAACGCCATGGCGGCAAAGGCGCAGTCGCCCTTGCGGCAGACCTCCCGAAGGGTATGTGGCGTGGAGGGTCGTAGGCTCCAGCTATATACTATACAGTACACGCCGTATCCTGGCGTCCTCCAAGTCTTGCTCGTGAGCTACTATGTGTTCTATCCATCCCTAGTTCCCACTGGTGCCCTAGGTCCGTTATAACCATCTGGTTTCCTAATAGAGGTAGTTTGTCGTTTGGAGGATAGGTTATGGCCTATCTCCTAGTACCGTGGGCAGATCTTCTGGAAGAAGTCTAAGTCAGTCGAGGTAAAGTAGTCAACCCCGACCGGAACGCCCCGTGTCGTGCTCTCAGAATGGTGAGATTCATACGCGTACATTAGAATCTGCAACGATAGTCAAAAGTTAGTTATCATCAACCTGGAACCATCGTGGCTCTGCTCCATGGGGTCATTCTCATCGGGGTTCTAGAACCGGATAGTCTGGCAAACGTGCGCGTTTAAGCTATACCCCAGGAACGTGGCGGGCAGAGCAATTTTTTCTTGTATGGTATTGCCTTCAAACTTCTCCTTGATAGTACCTTGAACTTTAACTAAGCATTCGCTTCCGGTTTTCCGAGAATTAAGCTTTTGAAGACCAGTTCAGTAGATTTTTTGGCTGAACAGCCCCTGGTTGACTGACTCGGATCCAGATCTATCATCCGAGCTTTTGAGGCGGACTGGGGTGAAATGACAATTTCAGACGATGAACACCGTCGGACTTACAAGCCAAGAGGAGGAGGTAGAACTCGGGATTTGAGCCTGGCGACTATATAGACAAGCTTCATACTGGCCTATTCACGATGAAAGGAATGCTCACCTCTCAAGTCTATCTCTCAGTCTCAAGTCTATCTTTCAGGCCATTCCAAGCTTTGTAGCCATTTCAAGCCATTCTTTTGCAGTCTAAACTCATTACATTTCGAAAAAAATAAAGTGCACTTACATCCTCCCTTTCATTACCGCAACCCTAGTCGCCTCATCAGTCCTCCCAAGCAGAGACCTAAGTACACAGCCCACCCTCCTTCACTCCTCAACCCAAAGACTAACCAATCCTCCAGCCGAAAGACAAGCCAAAAAGTGCAAAACCTTCCAAATCTTCAGAGACCCAGACGCCATCGAAGGCGGCACGCCCAGTTTCGTAGGCACACCGCAATGCTGCTGCCAAGACGAGCAATGCCACGTCATCGACCGTGTCAACGGCATCAACACCTCGGCGAACCTCAATGATTTCCTCGCGGGTACGTTTACTATTGAGGATGCTCGCGGCCAAGATAAAGGGACTGCGGGGTCGAATGATAATCGGGGGGCTACGTATACTATTGGGGCGCAGGGTGGGTGTAGCAAGTGAATTGGGGATGTTGTGGATATGAAGCGTTCCACGACGCAGAGCTCATTAGGGAGTTAACAAGACGATTCGAGAAATTAAAAGAGGCCATCCCTCGAGTTACCGCGTGCTCAAGCGGATGAAGTGAGACATGACGAGAAGAGTGCAGGTTGCAATGCCACCAGACCAGATCAGGCAAGAGAGGTCATTCTTCACTGCATTTTAATCCGCCCCGGAGAGCTCTTGAACACCCGTCAATCTAGCTTGTTTATAACCTCTTGCAAACGGGATCCTCATAGCTTACGTCGAGCCGACACCTCATGTTCGCAACAGTTAAAGGGTTACTTTTGTAAGGTAGTCAGAGGAAGCACGTAACATAGCATTAGTATATGACTCATCACGACATGTCTGCCATGCCGTTAATATCATAAATTATAGGAAGATGTGCCATGCTCACGGTCAGAGCTGAACGCGTCGCAAGTGGGGGCGAAGGAGAAGGGGGAGGGAGTTCGCGTGTGAGTACCTATCTAGTAAGTACCTTACACTGGCACACTAGGCTCTCCAGCCCACTCTCAACTTCCACTCAATCCCGCAAAGACTTCTTCAGCTCCGCCTTACTCTGATTCTGCCTCACAGAAAGCCCAGAAACAATCAAGGCATGAAATGTACGCCCAGGAAAGCAGGCTGTGCTTGAGCTGCCTGATGTGCTGACTGCATGAAGTGCACTGCATTTCTAACTCATGCCTAGGAAGCAGCGCGAGGCAGATTTTGGAATCAATCCTAAAAGCGAGCATCTCCCCTCTCCTTTAATACACCTTCACTGCACTTTCGACACCTCCCCAGGCAATCACCGCGAATGCACAATCCGTGTCTAAACACAGGTCAGGCACAGTCTCGTTTGATCAAGAATCTTGCTTCTGGGTATCTATTAAGAGTAACAATAAGGAGAATTGGGGATATACCATCTCTACAGTATCCCCCACCTGCAGGATATCAACAAAGTACAGATGACATGGATATTTAAGCCATCCATCCGAATAGTGGACAAATGCCACACAGATACATCAATCTGCAATGGACTTCACAAAACGTCCTCCAGGTTTGCACCCGAGCTCTCCTCTCTAATCAGCTCGCTCATACACACATGGTCCCTCCAATATTTGTGTCATTTTCTCTCATTCTCTTCTCATCCTTTTCGTATCAAGAAAAACTCTTGCTGTGATAACCTCCTTACTCGGTCTTCTTCTTCCCAAAGAGGCCACCCTTCTTTGGCACTCTCGCCAACCAGTACAAGCCCAGGGCGGCGAAGATGTTGAAGATGATGTAGACCCAGGCAATGCCAAAGTTCCTCCAGCGGTCGTTGTAATCGCTCTTGACGCTGGCCAGGAAGACGTTGGTGTCCTGAATGGTGCAGAACTGGCAGTCAGTGGTGGCGTTGGGCTCGCGGAGGTAGCCGCCGGCAGCCATGATGTAGCCCTGGAGGAAGGCTCCACAGGTTTGTCCCGAAGGAGGATCAAAGTGGAGGAACTCGTTGGCAGCACAGACAACCTCTGTGTTGGCGACAGCCGTGGATAGCATGCCTGAAACAATGTACGTGAATGGCGATACACGATACATGAAGATCCAGAAGCGGGGAATAGTATCGGGGCTAGCGAGCACACCGCAGAAGATGAGGCAAAGCATGAAGAGCAAGTTGGCAATGTTGCCACCAGCCTCGGCGGTCTCAAATCCAGCGATGATGAAGTCGGTAAAGGTCGATGTGAACAGCAGGAAGACGAGCAGGTACAGGAACATCAATGCGCCACGCTCAGTAACCTGGTCGGCGGGGATGGCGTTCTGGTACAGGCCGACGGGGTAGTACCAACAGAAGTACATGATAGCAGCCATGAGGGTGTTCCAGGGAAGTTCGACGATAATCTGGCTGAGCATAAAGACCTTCCAGCCATAGACCTTGGAGGGCCGCTCTCGCACTTCGTACAAGGACCGCTGAATAACAAAGTGAGGCATAGTCTGCTGGACGAGCTGGCCAAAGACGGTAAGCAGGTTGAAGATGGCAAACATTTGGTTCTGGAGACCCTGCTGAGTGTTGGGAGCTTTGAAGAAAACGAAGCCGATGAATGCAGCGACTAGAGTGCAAAGCGCAGCCTTGGCGTAGATGTATGAGGGGGTTCTCCAGTACTGTTGGAAGACGCGGTGGGTGACCTCCTTGAGCTGGGCGAAGAAGGGGGCAGCGAATTCGCGGTAGCTGCCCTTGTCGTGGGTAGCAGGGGTCTGAACACCACGCTCGTCCTTCAGTCTCTGCAATTCGGCCTGAACGCTTTGGAATTCCTCAGACTTGCGCCAAGCCTGGTGCCAGTCGACATCGGTGTGGGATCCAGGAGCGGCGCCAATAACTTCCAACATCCACTCAGCCGGGTTGGCATCGTGAGGGCAAGTCATGCCACTCATACGCTCAAAGTACGAGGTCATGACCTTGGAGTTCTCACCAATGTCACCGAAGTAGACAGTACGGCCACCCTTGGCAAGGAAAAGAAGACGATCGAAACGCTGGAAAAGCATGGCGGAAGGCTGGTGGATAGTGCAGAGAATGGCCTGACCACTCTTGGTCAACTTCTCCAAGAGGTCGAGAATAGCCCAGGAAGTCTGCGAGTCAAGACCGGAAGTCGGCTCATCAACGAAGAGCAACAAAGGAGGCTTCGCAACCAGCTCGACACCAATAGTCAAACGCTTACGTTGCTCGACGTTGAGACCTTCTCCAGGAACACCGACAACGGCATCAGCGTACTCTTCCATATCCAACAGCTTAATAACCTCCTCAACGTAGTCGAGTTTCTCTTGTCTCGGGACGTGTTCGGGTTGACGAAGGAGGGCAGAGAAGTTGAGAGCCTCGCGGACAGTGGTAGTCTGCAAGTGCAAATCTTGCTGCTGGACATAACCGGTCTTGCGTTGGAAAGAAGCATCGCGATGGTAACCATCAACCAGCATTTCACCAGTGATAACACCCATGGAGGTACGATCAGCCAAGCAGTCCAGAAGCGTCGTCTTGCCAGCGCCTGACACACCCATGAGGGCAGTCAGAGTACCAGGCTTGACCCATCCGTCAACGTGATCCAAAATGCGCCTCGTTTCGTTCTTGATTTGGACCTCGTAGCAGACGTCGTTCCAGTGGAAGGTGGACCTTTGCTCCTCGATGAGACCATCGTTCTTCTCGTTGATGCGGGCACGGTCGGCAGTGGTAACGGGTCCGACACGGATGTCCTCAGGGTCGTCAGAGTGCTTCTCGTTGAGGGCAGCGGGCTTGTGTCCGCGGCGGAACACGAGAACTTCTCCCTTGGACTTCTTCTCCGAGACCAACTCAGCCGTAACCATGTAGGTCATCAGGAAGAAAAGCATGAAAGCGATGAGGATACCAAAGTTGCGCCAGCGGTTGGCATACGAGTAGCGGAAACCAGAACCAACGTAGTCGTCGCCGCTCACGTAATCGAGACCTGCGACAGAGCCGACAGCACTACACACACGCTGGGCGGATGGGAGGTTTTCGTATCCAGACACGATAGATCTGGGTACAAATTGGCTTTCCGAACAAGCAAAGTTGCGACCATGGAATTCGTTGACGATGAGGGATTCGAAAGAGTATGCCAGGGGATCGAGGTAGTTGAGCCATCTGCACCAGTCCAACATGTAGTCGATGGGAATGACGAAACCAGTAAAGATGACGAGGTCCAGGATGAGAATGGCGGCAGGCACCATGGCTTGCGACAGGGTTCGAGAGGATGAAGCAATGGTTCGGAAAATCATTGACATGGTCAAGACCGTGAAGAAGGACATTAAAAGGAAGAAGAAGAATGCTCCAGGCTCGCGTCGCAGATTCGTCATGAAGTAGAGGACCAGGTTGAAGACGATTGTGTTCATGACCTTGTACGGCATGTCACACAACATGGATGCAACGGCTTCGGCGGACGGGTGGTACAGGGCGTAACGGGAGTGCTTTTCGACAATGGGACGTTGGGCGTACAGGGTCAGAATCTAATGTCAGGTTAGCTCACGAATCACTTGTTGTTAATCAGCGGGTTGAAAACCTACCTCGAGGGCACTGGAGAAGGCGTTCATGAGCAAGGCGAAGAAAAGGAGGGCACCACGTTGGAAGAAACTCTGGGTGTCCTGCTGCAAGTTGAAGAAGACACTTCCGATGATGAGACCCATAACAATGTTTCCGATGAGCGAACCGACAGTGATACTGGGATCACCGATCAGACGTCTGAATCCACGCCACAAGCAAAGCTTGACCTGCTGAGCGTAGGACAGGGTGAAGGGAGATTTGGCACGCTGACCCTTGGCCTGCTGGGCCTTCTTCGAGGCACGGAAAGCCACGGCGTCGGGACCGTTGAGAGGGTGCGTCTGCTTGTACTCCTCGATCTCAGCCTGCAGGGCAGTGTAGTTGGCGCTGTTCTTCCACGCGAGAGCGAATTCGTCAGGGGTACGGGGTGCCTTGTTCTCCCAACCGGGGCGGACGTGACGCTCCTGGGGACTCGTCATGGAAGTCAGGAAATCGGGGGTAGTGGCACGGGCAGGGCAGTCGTATCCAAGGTCAATGAAATATTGCCTGGCATCGGTGGCCTTGCCGAAGAAGATCTGGCGACCCTCATACAAGACGGCAACCTTGTCGAAGAGGTCGTAGGCGCTTTGGGGAGCTTGGTAAATGGATACACAGGCCGTGCTGTCAAAGAGCTCGGTTTGGAGGCGGAGGGTCTTGCAGAACTCGATGGCATTGGCGGAATCCAGACCACGGGTACTGTTGTCCCAGCACTGCAGAGGAGCGCCGGAGAGGGCAGCCTCGGCGATGGTGACACGCTTGCGTTCACCACCGGACACACCACGAATATACTCGTTTCCTACGCGGGTGTTGACGGTATGCGAGATACCGAACATGGCCATAACGACATCTCTCAGGTGCTGGGCGAAGTCGTTGCTGCTAATACCCTTGGGAAGCTGGCGGGGTTGACGGGCGCGGGCGGCGAAAGTCAAGGTGTCGCCCACAGACAGTTGAGGGAAGTGGACGTCCACTTCGGCGGTGTAGATGGCCTCACCACGGTGCTGGGTGTGCATCTCCTTGGAAGTCATTCCTAGGCCCTGTTAGCACCGAACGCTTTACACGATGCTACACCAAGTGGCGGTCGTGATGTCTTGCGTGAGAGGAAACTCGACGCCATGCACGGTGAACCCCTGCAAGCTTAGTTTAGGACGTTTCCGCCACTTACCTTGGTAGTTGAAGTAGGAGGTATCGTCGGTGTAGAGACCATTAGTCTCACCCGCGATGGTCTTCAAGAAAGTCGAGCAACCAGAACCGGGAGGACCTAGGACAACCAACATCTCACCCTTGCGAACGAGACCGTCAAAGTTGCGAAGAATGTCGATTCTGGTCTTTCCACCTCCACCGGTAAGCTTACGGGCGATATCAGCCACACCCAACCAGATGTTTCCAACATCCTTCTGGTAGTCAGTGGCCTGGCCGAAGCCGAAGACGTTGAGGTTCTGGTAAGCGACACCAGAGGTACGGAAGGAGGCGCCGTTTTGCTGGACGAGGTCGACCATGGCGCGGGCCCAAGCGCGGCCATTAAAGTCGGGCGAGTTCGGATTCAGAGGCGAGGACTCATCGGCGAAGAAGGGGTTTCCTCTCACGGTGCCGGTAGCCGAGGCGTGAGAGTACTTGCGTGCGAGCGACTGCACCAGCGAGTGGCGGCGTTCCATCTCGGAATCCTCATCTTCACCCTCGGCAGAGATCTTATCGCTGTCGAAAGGGGTTGAGGACTTCTTGGGGGCCTTGTCGCTCCCTGCGACCTCGGTGATGGATGTGGCGGCCGTGTCGACGGTGTTCTGGTTGGCGGCAGCGATATCCTCCTCTTCGTGGTGGTTGCTGCGGGCCGAGCTGATGGGAACACCAGACGTCTGTGCCGTGCTGTCGTAGTTGGGAATAGAAGCCATCCCGGCGAAAGCCATGTTGGCGGATATTCGTAGGGAACGGACTCAACCGCGATCCCAAATTGTCGAGAAGTTGCGCTTGTTCGTCGGTAGTGCCGTTGGTGTTGCTGGGTGTACAAGTCACCACCCGCACGGCACAGATTCGAGGGTGCTGCTTCTTGCTCTCGTCGCAACGTCGATTCAACGACGGCGCCGTCACTTGATTATCTTCGGTATTAGGTACTAAGAGTCCAGCCAGGAAGATACACTGGCGGGAAGGGTATCGATTAAAGGACCGACGCGAAAAATGGGAAGTGAGGAGGAGAGGGGAGAGAAGATGTCGAAAGTGACGGAAGAGGAAGGGGTAAAAGAAGCACCTCAGATGAAGAAAGTAATGGTGGGAGGGCTGCGAGAATTAAGAAAGAAGATCCCAGCAGTTCGGGGTGACCAGGATGAAAGGTACACACAATTGACGGCGTCAAGGAGCACGGTGGGAAAGATGGGACGGAATGGAGCTGGGCCGGGAGGGTGAGCTGCGAGCATGGGGCAGGCAAATGAGTACTTCGTAGTGTGTGTGTACCTTCTAGTTTAACCAGAAGAATAAATAAAATAGCAAAACAAAGCAGTTGGAATAAAATCAGATAATAATAATAATAATAATAATAATAATAATAAAAATACCCACCACACACTCACAGAAGGTAGGTACTTGGGTCCTCCGCAAGGCAAAAAAGACTGAATACCCTCCGCAGAAAGCACCGAAAAGTCTCCAGATCCAATGGGGCCAAGGTCAGAAAATCGAAACGTCCCGAAATGGATGTCCGCTGGCGTGTATTTGCCAGTACGTATCAGGCAGGGATATGCAGATGGAAGTAAAAGTACGATGGGTGATGTACCTTCCCACGCGGCAACAGAGCAAAAGATATGCTGCCTGCAGCTCATAGATACGAGGTACGTACTACAGTACTGAAGTATCGCCGTACCTCACTCTCGACGGGGCCCACAAAGTCTCCAGAACCCCTAGCTCCTTCCTCTAGCTCTTCGTTCTTTCTCTTCCATTTCTCACTCTGTTGAAAATTGAAATGGGCGGGCAGGCACTCCGTACCTAAGGTAGGTAAAGTTCCATGGAAGGTGCTAACCCGCCGGGAAGAACCCACCACGTCCGCCGAATCGACGGTCGGCACCCTGTGTCAGGTGTATTTCGAGCAGGTGCGGATGCTTTCTTGCGCAAAGACTTGCGGACTTTGGCTGGAGATCGCCACTTCAGCCTCGACTTGGCAGATGACTCTGACCGTTTGAGCACATTTACCAGAGTCCAAACTCCGCGGGCAAGGGCGTAAGCTACGTCGAAATTGGTCCACTGCCACGTGTATTCGGTCGAATATAGCCGGTGCTGAGAAAACATCACACTCCCACCTCTCAGCACCTAGTTGCTCTGGAAGGTCTGCAGCACTGGACTTACACCACGAGACTTCATCGCCCATCACCCAGAGTCAGGGACCAGCCTGTACGGCGCAGAGTTAATGACGAACTCTATGCTCATTGACTCGTAGTCGCCCCGTCCACCTGATATGCGGGGGGGGTTTTCTCGAACGGAACCAGCAAACAACCATACCTTAACCATATTCACAAAGGTTTACCGCCACATGCAGTCCACAATTTCTATAGTTTCTATAGAGCAGATTGCGGACATTGAAAGTCGTCCGGATACAACACCACAAAGTCGACCGTAAGACAAATCAAGTCCGATATTACGATGGTACACAGATTGATTTTTCGATCCACTCTAGACTAAGGTAGATGGAGCACCTACAGGAAACACAGGGTCTTGGTACTCAGTACTCCGTCTCACCAACCCAGACAAAAAAGGGAGAGAGAGAGAAAGAAACGTCTGCTGCATGTCTCTCTGTCACCCCAAGATCCAACAATCAAATCGTAGCAGGGGCCCGGAACAATGCCCTGCGAGACAGTAGACTGCGCCGCGCCAGTGGTTAAATCCTTGAATCTTTGGTCCCTATCGGCATCTTGTCAATTCCCGAGGCCATGATACCAACTGCCCGTCCCGGCGCAAGCCATACCATTTGGGTAGCAGATCGAGAGACAGAGACGCCAGGGAGTCTAGCCCTCGTAACACGTCGTCAACGGGTTACCGTTTGCGTGCAGTTGCATACGGACGCAGCTGCAGGCTACATCCAATCCCAGGGGACAATTGGCATCTCAAGTCGGATAATAGGAACACCAACAGCAGCAACCCAATGCCAGCAACACAATAAGGCTGTGGGCTTGCCAATCTCAACTCATTACGGTTATCCATGGCGCAAATTCAGATCAGGCAATGAATAACGAGGCACAGGTGTATTCGCTCGCATGTGCCATTTCGCACTCTCGAAACGCCAACTCTCCGTGTAAGACTGCCCACCCTGTCGCCGTGAACTCTTGGAGTACCTATCACAAGTACCTATTGTGTACAAGTAAGCATCAGCTTGAGCTTGTTCTCCCCTCCATATCCCAACATCATGGCAGGCACAACGTAATTGACTTGGGTTGCCCCTCGAGATGCCCTATCAGCCCGACGACCATCCAATGAGGCTGCTCAAACTGTATCGGCAACTAGGTGAAAGAAGGTTGATTGAGGGTGTGTTTATCCCCGACAGGTGACATGGATGGCACGAAAGGCCGGCACAGCCCTGCTATCGGGTGTGATCAAGACTCCTTTTTCCATCTGGTTGAGGTACGTACATGAAATCTTAGCAAAGCAAACAATTTGCAGTTCGCAGACAGTCAGCATTGCAGCAATATGAGTCTTGGCCCTGCTTCGATTTACGGATGTTCATACGTAGTACATACACTACGTAGTACGAACGGAGCACCAGCAAAATGATCTCCACCAGGAAAGGAGGGAGCGTCCCCTGTTGGCTCCTGCGACGTTCGTAACTTTCTCTTCTCATTCGGTTCATTCGTGAATCGTGGTTGCCAATTGGACGAGCACCTTCCTTCCTCGCCCGCAAAGTGTCTTCTTTCCCAGATTGCCAGAGTTCACAAGTTCCCGCTCCCTCGGGCGGCCCCACTCACAGAGTACGTATCCCCGTACCTTAGTGGCCCATTGAAGAAGCAGCAAGACCCGCTCGGCGTCCAATTGGAAATTTGACATGGAGCTAGAAGGCAGCCACTCGTCGACACTACCGCTCGCTTGACCACAAAAAAAAGGGGTGGACACCAAACGAGCCGCAAGCGAGGCAGCCACAGCAGCGTGGTGCTTACCTGTCTCGGGTTCTTCGAGCACCCCGACAACCCGCAGCGGCCCAGGCAGGCGGCAGGTGCCAGGTGAGCCTGGCAATGGTGGCTCCTGCTTTCCCCCGACGGGCCCCACACCTGCGCCTGCCGGGACTCGCCATCCGTCACCGGCCACCGAAAACGCTTGACGGCTCACGGTTGGGCTGCCGCTTGACACCTCGCACTCTCGAGTCTCGACGGGAGAAATTCGTCTCACCAATTCATCCTCACCAGTCCAATCTTACGCCAGCTAGGCGTCCTGCCCGCGACAAATGACCATGGAGCTTGAAGTTCGCGGTAAGCATTTTGTCTTTCAAGCCGATCTCTGTGTATTGACCTGATGGTACGAGAGACCAATGCTGTGAATATCTCTAACCTCATCAAAACAGCAGAAAGACAGACAGAGTGTTCAAATACAAGGCCGTAAATGTCTTCACGCTCTCTTCGGTAAACGTGCGTCTTGACCCGATCCTGGCCACGTCGCAGCCCGTTCCAACTGGGCGATCAGCGCAGCCGATATACGACGATTTACGGCAAACGCACCCACCCCTGGCCCGCCGCCATACCGCAGACCTGTCCGCCAGATCTGCATCACACGGATTCCCACATGCCTCGCCCACCGGCCCAGGGCCCAAGGGTCACGGCGCATTTGACCCGTTTGGCGCTTCAACATCGCACACTTTGAGCAATACTTCCTACTACGTAGAGTACGGGTTCGACAAACTACTACAGTAAACCCGTCTAGATTAATCAATCAGCTTCGTCCGAGATCTGTCTTCCGGTTCCGACTGGAGTCATCCACTCCGACCGTGATGGCGTACCGGACGGGTTGCATCAGTACTCCGAGATTCACGGCACATTCTTCCCCTTGTAGTATTCGCCGGGTCACGCAATCCACATGGCATGATGGCAGCACAGCAACGCCAGACTATCAACAGCAGTCGCCGCGAGACAACGTCATAGCGCAGTCTCACCACTGAAGGAGTAAACAACCGACTTTCTGACCCTAGAGTTGCCCTTCAGAGCTCAGAGACCACCGTCTGTCTGCTGACTCGTCCCAACACCAAGACGATCTAACCTTCGTCCTAAGCGACGTTTGACGGCGTACCACGTAAAGTCTAGTCACAAGCCAGGGCCTTCATTCGCAAAAAAGCCTCCCGTCCTCACACCAGACGAGCCAAATAGGAAACCACCAAGTGGTCTAGAAAGCTCTCTAGGAACAGCCCTCACGTTGAGGCTTCAGTAGCAACCAATATCCCACCATCAGGGACGAACACCGAGTCCGACCCCGCCACTTGCGGCCTTGCCCTACCTACATCATCCATATCGTCACGGGTGCCTCTTCCCGAGGAATTCATGACGGCTCCGTGGTCTCGGGGTTCCACTACCCGTCGGAACTTTGGCCGATATCGAATTATCGATAGATGTCGGCGGCTGAGATCGACATTCGCAGTGTTGGATCACGATGGACCGAGGCTTTTGATTCCCCGATGCGTGTGGTGACGCTTGAATTCCTACCAGGGAACACGCGATCACGGCCCAATACCGGTTCTCCGGATCCGTCGCTACTGTCCGCCATGTGTTCCATTAGCAACCCCAAGTGCCAAACTTGGCGCATCATCACAGCGATGCGACCACCCCGAGTGGCGGCTATTCACAGGCGGCAGGCGGCAGCAACTTCGGGGAGACACAAGGATGATGGCATCCATCCTGTTCTTCCTCAATTTTCGCCAAGTATCGATGCAAAGATGCGACATACCTCCAAACGCAAGACGTAATCACCCTACAGCGACAGCAGTCCCTTTATCAGAGTTGCTGGATAACGGGCGACATGGCACATGGTCTTTTCGATGCCTGTTTTTGCCTCGAGCCCGCATACCTATTACTGTATAAAACCAGAATTGTCCAGATTGCGCCGGCTTCTCTACTAATATGTCTGCCGTATCCATAATACGAACGCGAATTCGAAAACGGGACAGGAAGCACTCAACAACGTGACTCGTCAAATCACGTTACCCAACCGGGCAACGCTCACCAGCATTAGAATCAACCCCCACAGTCAATCTTACCTACCGCCCTTCACGCAGCCAAGCAGACGCAGCGCAACGCGAGAAACGCACCGCCCGTAAAACCCACACCCGGCCCAGCCACAGTCCACCACATCCAGCCAACTCTGCTCGGCCCTGCAACCCGCACCACACCCGCTCCCTCTCAGAGCTGTGCGTCAGCCTGAGCCTGAAAACCCCGGGTCTTGGTGATTTAGCATCCAGTCGGACCAATTCATTTTTATAGCATTCAGTCGGACTCCGGGATCGCCCCGATGGCACGCCCATCCCTCCACAAGTTCACATAGCTGCGGGCTGCTATCGCTGGGAGAGGAAGACACTGCCGACCTCCGTCTTTTTCCGGCATCAGTAATAAGCACCCGTCTGACAAAGTCACAACCGCTCCAGTTCTATCCATGATGAGATCCGACGATGACCCGGACTCACAGCCAAAAGTACTACCCTAATGGGAATAGCGCAACCATCTCAGGTCTCTTCCCTTCGGCAGAAGCTTCTCCCCACCGTTGACAACGGATGATGAACCTGGAGAAGGGTCTGCACTGCTGCGTGACTGCGCACCAGCAGCAGCACGGTCTTGGCAGAATGACCATTAAGTTTCTGTTTTGTTTGACAATCAGTCAACTGCATCGACAGCCTCGGAATTCACGTGCAGACTTTTTGGTCTTGCCTTGGACTCAACTTTCTTCATCTTCATGTAGGTAGACGCCCAACTCTACACAAGTCATGTTGATGTCGGTAAGCCCGCGGCAGGTAGAATGCTCATTTACGGCCCCATTGAACGATCCGGAGCTAAGACATGGTTCTCCCGGACCCGTACCTGATCGGACATAGGCCTCGCCACGGGTCTAAGGACAAGCAAGGACCATCCGAACCGGTCGAGCTCCGCCCCCGCAACTTGGTAACGGCAAGCTGTTCAGATGGGTCAAGGCTGATGCTGTCTCAATGGGGGACGATCGAGTCGTGTGATGACTGGTCGTGCATGTGCCCGGAAACCTCGGCCTGTGTATTATTCGTGGCAAAACGCTGCGAGTGCCGCTAAAAGCCTGGTTTTAAAGCACAAGAATAAGGTGATGCATTTCTCCAGATCACGTCCGGCCCGCCCCGTAAGGCGAATGGTATCTGTATGGATGATTGGTTTAGGCCGCCCACTCAAGCACACTTTAAACGCGAAGACGCGTTGGCCTTACCGGCGGGTTCGTTCCATAGCATGAGTTGTGTCGTCCCTGATAACCCCGAGGGAGGATACCAAGGTTCAACGTCATACCAGTTAACGTTTTGTCCCGATGCTTGACAACTCAACCATTGGCATTTTTGCATTTCAGGCTTGAAACGGACCAAGATTACGGTTGTCCTAGTCGTCAGCGGGCAGTGAACTGCAGCCGACAAGTCGATTTGATCAGTGTGGCGGGACCCCTGAATCAACTGTGGCAGATGATGCCACGCATAATTCAAGTTCAGACTGTCGAGCATTCGCATGATACGTTGATCGGAGTTATCGCGTCGTCTCGATTTTTCTAGGCTAGTTATCTTTCGAAGTTACTGCATCTATCAACACGTCACGGCGGCTTTCATTCAATGTTTGCGGATGGTGTGTCATGAGAGTAGCTCGATGGCAATGCTGATTTCTTGATTTCTGTGACAGCGAAACGTATCTGCCGTATGATAGTGCCAGGATCTCCGATCATAATCGGCCAGAAGGTGAGATCGATAGCTACACCTCGTGTTGCTCAATCCAAGTGATCGATTCAATGTTTCGTGTACGTGATGTTGCGCATTTGGTTCAACATGGTTGAGTGTGGAGGGAGCTCGCATCGAATCACATTTCGTCATCGCTGTATTGCAGACGGTATTCAGAACAGAGTAGATCTCTAGGCTCCATCACCTGTCGATTCTATTGACTCCTGACATTGAAGCGACATCATCTTCCGTCCAGGGCCATAGGACTGGCAGGTAGGCAAAAAAAGGCGTGCGAGATAGCTGGAGTGAATGAACCTTTTGTTGGTATTCCTTTCACAGGGAATTTGGTTCGAACCGTAGGGTCCTGGGGGTGACGAAGTATCAATATCTCTGTATTGATTGATTCTGCGTAAGGAGTAGAAGGGAGATTCCAACCGGAGGTTGGGTGGGTAGTCGAGGTCTAAGTGTACCACCTCGAGGTGGCCCATGCTCTGCCCCTACTCGCGGCCGAATTGGACTTCCAATCCGACACCTTTCAAGTGCATCTCCCTCACGTTCCCTCCACAGCTTTGTAGTCTTCTTCAGAAGGAGATTTGATAACACCGGGAAAGTTGGAGGACTCTGTCAGTTGAAGTTTGATGACGACAATAATTTATCTCGCTGTATTAACGAGTATACTGCGGCACATGCTATCATTGGAAAGGGATAACCATTCCACAGCTCCCAGCCCCTATCATATATAGTCAGTCAGAGTATTTGACGGAACGTGCTAGCTGTATGATTTATGAGTCGCATACGGATACCGAAAAAACTCCTTCATCGAGATCAAGATGAGTTCTTTGGGTTCATGTTGAATGTTTGACGCTCGTATGCCTCGCTCACGATGGCAGCGTAGCTCCCTGCAGTCCCAGCAGCTAAACAGGTCTATATCTCTGTGCAAAGGAGCTATAATGACACAGCTGACATCGAATTTCTACAACAACAAGCTCTTGCTATGTCACCTAGTATCCATACAAGTTCACATTCTCCGATGTGGAAGCCCGAATCCTCCGGTTCTCTCTGACAAGCAAGACACGGATCCACCACGCGCAGAGAATCGATAGCAAGGCGAAGCCAGCGGACGCGCCAAAACCAATGGCATAGCGGGGCTCGTCGCTCTTGGGCCAGAGATAGGCGCCGTAGATGTAGCCAATCTGGCCGCCGACGTTGGTCATGGCGAGGACGACTGCCTTTTTCTCCTTGGTTTGTGACAGCGTCGAAGATGCCCAGCCGATGATGACGGAGTTCACTACACGAAACTTCAGCAAACTGTCCATAGATCAAAGGGTAAAGACAAGGACTAACCGGCATAAGCTCCCATGGGGAAGATGAAGCAGGCAACGTAACGGGCCGCTGTGTTGAGTGTTGAGGCCGCCACCACGAAGCCGAGAATTGCGACACCGAGGCCTACTGTGATGTGCCATGTTCTCTCGTGAAGTCTGCCGGAACTCCAGCCGAACAAGATACCCGCGGCACCGGCGAAGATGAATGGCGGGCAGGTCATGACGAGGGTGACGGTCGTGTTGAAACCGAGAGTCTTGACAACAGTCTGTTCTATATTAGCCATGCACCTTCAACCAACCGCGATACGAGGATTAAAACGCACAGGGAAGAAAGAGTTGAAGCTGCAAGCACTCAAATGGAAATTCTGCATCAAGCAGAACAACCACGTCCTCTTGTCCCTCACAGCCTGCTTCAATCCATCCATAGCAGAAGCCTTCTTATCATCCGAGTCGGACAGCTTATCCTTCTCCATGCGGGAGTGCGCGAGCTCGCGCTCGCGGTCGTTGAGCCAGCGCGTCGTCAGGGGCGTGTTGGGGAGGAGCCAGAAGCCAAAGAGGGCGACGAGGCCCGTGGCGGCGCCCTCGACGATGAAGAGCCAGCGCCAGCCTGCGATGCCGTTGAGACCGTCCATGCCGGCGAAGATGCCGGCTGCGATGAGGGAGGAGAGGCCTGTTGCGAGGATTTGGGCGCAGTAGAGGAGGGCTATGCGGGAGGCGACCTCTTTGGGGGGTGTTAGTTGATGGGTTTAGGGGTTGGATGGAGTCTGGAGAGGGGAGGGGATGCTGACCTTTACGGGTGTAGAAGATTGATAGCATGTAAGTCGCGCCTGGGTAGAACTATGCCGTGTAAGTTAGAGATCTCATAGCTCGATGCTAATTGTCGTAACTTACGGGAGCTTCGGTGATACCGAGGAAGAATCTGCAAGCGACAAGACCTCCGTAGTTCTGGACTAGTGCCGTGCAACCTAGACGTCTGTTAGACTCGACGAGAACTTTGTTGTCTGATAGTTTCCTTACCTGAGACCACAGCCCAGATCAACATCCACGCGCTCATGTACATGCCAGGTTGAATCCTGGTAATCAACATGTTGGATGGAATCTGCATCAGGACATAACCCACAAAGAGACTGTAGGTTGTTAGTCGCAACCCTTCCTTTTTCCCCTGTACCACTTATGCTCTGGAGAGTGTTGATTCTTACATCGAAACTGTGGTGTTGAACTGTGTTCCCGACATGCCCAAGTCCTTCTCCAGGTTGTTCAGTCGTGCTTGGGCAATGGCATTGCGATCGACGTAGTCTGATTGGTCAGTTCATATGTTGTGACAATGAGACATCGAGCGGGGGAATCGTACTCAAGAAGTACATGATGCAGAGTGTCGGCTGTTCAAAAGAGTCGTTAGATTCCAAACGAGCATTTGTGATATCTAGGGGTATTAGAGGGCTTACCATGATCCGCCAATCTAGCTTCCGCACCAACTTGATCTCCTCCGGATCGGTCTTCTTCGCAGACCCGGTCCAGTCGCGGTTCTCCTCATCCTGAGGAATGGGCTTCTCGTCCATGATCACACTATCGACGGTATGGATGGCATGCTCCTCGCGCTCCACCGAAGGAGAACGCTTCTCGCTCGCGGCCATTGTAAATTTGGTGATATTGATATCGTGCGCGGACCGGATTGTGCACCTAGCAAAGTCTGTTTTTCGGGGAAAGGGGGGGTTGTCAAAATCAAGAGGGATCGGCGGGGCTAAACTCTGCGGTGAAGAGAGTTGCGGTCTAAGAAATAAGCATAACCGAGGATGGAGTCACAGCCGCTTACTTCGTTTTGTCAAAACCAACCCAAAATGCTGGACAATCAGCAGAAACGTGGTATTTATGAACTTTTCAAGACTGTTGCATCGTTGATACCCCACGCAAAAGGTCATGTCTACGACTGATCCCCGAATCCGGGGTAACTGGATCAGCATGGGCAACATTTGAGATCCGGTGCGTTCTGGGGAAGAACCCATGGGGAAGGGACCAGATTGCGACGGATTCCAATAAGTCGGAGCCGCATGTCTGGGCAGCAAAAGCGGGGTTCTCGGGGGTTAGATTTAGGATCCGAAGGGAGAAGAAAGAAAGAGGCGGTCGATGGGAATGGATAAGGGCAAGGGGGGTTCGATGAGACAAGCCGTATGGAGGATAAGCAGGAGATAGCGTGCGAAGACAAGAGTCAGTCGAGACCACGAAACACCACCAACACCACCACCACCACCACCACCGACATCCGCCGCCACTGGAGAGGTTGGAGTTGGTCAGCCACTGCAACTGGAGCGAGAGCAGCAACCCACAGCACCCAAACTGTGGAAATGGGGAAATGGAGCCCCGCGTGCCAAGGCCCGAGGGAATGGAAAGTGCTGGGTTTAGGTTGGGGTTAGTGGCATTAGGGCCTATTGTGTTGGGACTATGGGACCGGGGATATGGAGGAGGTGTGTCAAAGAGAGAAATCTGGTTCGTTCGGAAACGTGTCGTGTGGATCACTGCTGCATCTTGGACTACCTACGGTGGTGCGAGGACGGAGGCATGGATAATGGGAGGTGAACATCTGAGTGGGTGCTTGGAGCTTAAGTACGGTCGATGCCATGGTAGTCAGGGACTGCATGACCCTCCGCGTTTCTGAGCGTCATGGCTCTGGTTGTTTAATGGGAGGTGGACATGTGGTTAGACTCGCGATTGATGGCCTGCTATCTCGGGCATTGCCGTTAACGTGCGAGCTCTCGGGGACACTGAACAACCCTGAATCGACTCAGCAACTGTACCTCCATATAGATGAGCAATATCGAGAACGCGATTGATATGGATCTACTCAAGATGAAATGCAGGTATGTTGTGTTGGGGATGGCTTTTCGTTTCACACAGAATATTGTGTAGAACACCCGGTGGGATAAAGCGCTGGTTTGCCAAAGATTGCACTTAGCAAAGAAGTTGGTTAGTTTCCGTTCGAGACAGGTTACTTGATTTGTGTTCCTTGACATGCCTTCAACTCGGCTGTATCTTTAGAGCTTAAATGTAATGTGTATTGGGAGAACTCTCAAACTATCCATATGTACTAATTTCCTGCCTCCCGAAACTCCCTTCTGCTTTTTCAATTCAACTGTGTCACCTCATTCTTCGTCATCGTCGTCACCAGCAGCGTCGTCCCACTCCTCATCTTCAGATCCAGTGGATTCAGTCTGAAATTCATCCTCGTCTTCTGACTCTGTATCACTCCAGAGATCCCAGCGCGATTTGGTGTCCCACGGAGAAGCGGCCATTTTCTCTCGTAACATGTCAACAACCTCTTCAACTGACTCCACAGCTGCCTCCCACACCTGTTCTCGGATCTGCAAACCAATGGTTTTGTATGTACCGAGGATCTCCCATTGCTTCCACTCTTCTTTTTGCTTGATCAGAGGGCTTAGAGCAGCCGTAGCGCCTCGTTGGTCCTTGTCTCTCACGTATTGGAGTAGCCAGAGCAGTCGCTCTATATCAGCAGTCAAGTTCCTGTCTCTGATTGATATGAACAATGAAACAAAAGCTTCTTGTCGCTCTGGGTTTGGTTTTAAGATTCCTCCACGTTCCCAATCCCGCACATGCAAGGAGTAAATCCAGGAATCCCAAGGCGTATCTTCGTATTCGTCAAGCAAGTCCGTGTTTGCGGCCGTTAAATTCAGGGTTGAAAGGTATCGAAGCAGCTCAGTGGTTCCAAACCACGCTGCTTCGTGAAGCAAGCCCTGGCCTTGGCGTGTTAAGCATGTTGTTTTAGCTCCTGCCTCAATGAGGCACTGTGTGCCAGCGTGATCTCCTTTCTCAATCGAAACCAAAAGCGGAGTTTTTCCATCGAGGCCTTGTAATTCGATGTCAGCGCCGGCTTCCAGAAGGATTCTCAAGCACTCTTGGATGGTATAGAGGTCGTGGCGAAGCGACGTTAGGTGATGTAGGGCGCTTTTGTTCTGGCTGTCAGTAGCATTTACCAATGCCCCCGCACAGATTAGGGCTTGAATGACTTTTGCAAGATTTTTGTGCCCCTGTACGGCAGCAGCAGCCATCGCGGCGAGGCCCTCTCTGTCAGTGGCATTCACCCAGCTACCAGCATCAATCAGGTATTGCACCGTGAGAATATGGCCGTTCATGGAAGCAAGCGTTAGAGCAGTGCGACCCATCCAGTTGACCTCGTTGATATCGCATCCTAGATGCACGAGGTGCTTGACGCTTTCAAGATGGCCCTGTGTTGCAGCGATATGTAACGGAGTATTGCCTTCATAGTTCCGCTGATCTATGGCCCAACTGAAGTTTTCTGCAGCTCGAATAGCAGCGTCGAAATCGCCCTTGAAAAGGGCATCATGCAGCGGGGTTTGGCTGGCATTCACCATCGATTCTCCAGCAGACGAAATTCGGCAAAGGACTTGCATCTCCTGTTCGGGTAGAGAAGGATTGTTTGCAATTATACGGTGCGCCTCGTAGAACCAACAGCTATCACAAAGATGGTCAATCTGTAGCTACTCCTCAGAACCTACTGGTTTCGAAACTTTGACAAACTTACTCATCATAGCTTCCTTTCAGTATTTGGTCTTCCCAGATCTGGTATAAATAGAGGACTACTTCAGTTGATCCCTTTAGTATAACCCACTGGTTGTTTCATTAATCATGCGTGTGCCAGCAGGAACAAATGATGGAAGGCCTACCTCTAAGGCAGTGCCGCCGTCAGGGCTTGCGTCACCTGGAAACACCTTTCCATTGTGTAGCATCCACTGTTGAACTGCCACTCTCGAACTCGAAGGAGAATCAACATCAGTGGAATGCCAAAACCGCGAATCAAAGGGGAGAATCCTGGCAGGCCTAAGTGACACTCGCAGCCCAGTCGTAACGCCCACTAAGGTTTGCATTTGAACTGCTCTGGAACATAGCCAAAATCGGGAATTGATACTCGACTGTCATTGATGTCCCTGCTCTGTTTCTGCAGCTGTCCTCGGTGCATTTTATGCTGTTTCGGAAAGTCAAATGACCGTTGAAGCTGAGATTAAGACTGCACACCAAGCTTCGAGCCCATCTCGTGGGAGTGTACGAGATTCGCTTCGAAGCGTGGCATTGACAACAACATGGAATTGGGCATCGATTGAGCAGAAAGCTTGACGTCTGGACAACAACACTCGAAGACTCGGTAGTTGATAAGCCAGTGGTTGCCGATGATTGGGGATTCGGTAAAAGTTGTTGAGCTGGTTTCCCAGCTACAGCTTGTAGAGTTTCGTCATCCTGGAGTGTTTCCATGTCTTCAATACGACAGGATGACTTCTGATCCATGTTTATTGAGCTGTCCTCAGCGTCTCCAGTTCCTGTAGAATTTTCAAGCAGTTGCACATTCGGAACGATCTGCATGCTCTCAATGCGCAAAGCGAGCTTCCTAGAGCACAAGGCGATTTTATCAGCTTAAAAAGGCTACACTGTTTACCTATTGACGGCATGAAACTTACGTGATGATTTGAGTATTGGTTATTTGGAGCGCAAGTTGGAGGTTCTCTCTAGCGTCTCGCGCTTTACTTCGACACTCGGACAGCTCGCCTTGCAGCCAGAACCATGCTGTCTTTTTGACCTTGTCTTTGCCTCCGGCACTCGGTGATCGTGTGCAGCGTTTTCGAATTTCTTCGAGCCTTCTCGTGGATTCTGTAAGCTGGAGCATGGGATTTTCTAGGATCGGTGATTCGAATTTTGAATCATTGGTAATGACTCCCACCCTGGCGAGTTCCTCGTGGACCAATCTCAAAGCTTCGACCTACAATATCATGTTAAGCGTCAGCACACGAACTTTCTCCTGCTTGAGATCTCTAGTGATTAGGTTGATATAATATTGTTGCCACAGACCTCGTTCTCTACCTCTGGGATTGCTCGGGCAATGTGGACGACATGGCGAGCGGTGCCTAAAGCTTGACCTATGGCTATGAAGCTTGCGACTGCCCCAATAACTTCCATTTCTTTTCGTTTGCTCGAGGAGTATTGTGCGAGTTTTCAGACCGAGGTTACGATTTCTCTGGAAGGATGGTTCGCAGGGTTGTAGGGGGAAGAAGGGAAAAGGCTTCGCCACGGCACTTGCGCAGACTTGCTCACAGCCTGGTTTTCGAGATGCGAGTACCTATCTGCGCCGCTGCAGTCATCTTTCAATCGATGGGAAATGAACCAATGATCGTTCTACACGAATGTCACATGTAGCCGGACATAACGCCTCGATGGGTTGATTGCCTACATGTCTTGTCCGTTGGTGATTGGCTATGGTAATGCAATCTGCCTTGTGGCATTGTTGGAAAACGGGGCTTATCCTGCAACCACTTGGTGATGATGAAGCAAGGCCCTTTTGGAGGGGGGGGAACTGGTTCTCAGTTCCATGGTACACGTTCTCTGCACTGAATCAACGCGTCTGCCCATTCAATAGAGTCTTAACAAAGAAGTGGAAAGATACTGCAAGGCAGGAGGTAGTAGGGCCATTTAGACTGCCATAATACCTACTATGTATCTATGCGTCGATCACACCAAAATGCACTAGGCCCACGTGGTGAGGCGATGCCGAATGGCGAAGGCCGGCGAGTATTGCTACTGATCTCGCCGGATTACCGAAGAGTCACGGCGCCTAATCAAAGATATGACCCTACATAGAATACCTTACAGCAAGGTGGGTTGCAACCGGCCATGGTGAAAAGAATTCACCGGGGACGATCGTTGAGACTTGGCGCTGCGAGTACCGGAGGAGCGAGGAGTTGGAAGCCATAGGTTCGGAATTTCCGAACGATCGGCGCGCGGTACAGATATATGCTGGTAACTTCAATTTTATACTAACACTCTACTCTCTTACAAACAGGCCAGCCATGCCCATGCCGGTGCCGACGCACATGCTCACAACACCGACCTCGCCTCCAGATCTTCCGAGACCGTGGAGCAGGGTGCTCGTCATGCGCGCACCGGTGGCACCCAGAGGATGACCCAGGGCAATGGCACCACCGTCGGGGTTGACCTTGCCATCCTCGTAAGCCTGTTCCAGCTCAAGCGCCCTCAGGCAGTAAATCGCCTGACTGGCGAAGGCCTCGTTGATCTCCCAGCGGTTCACGTCCTTGTTCTCCAGGCCGAATTGACCCAGGAGCTTGGGGATCGCCAGGGCGGGGCCGATACCCATCTCATCGGGAGCGCATCCGACGGTGGTGGCTCCAACGAACTTGCCGATGATGCTGTCGGTGAGGCCCAGCTCTGTGGCGGTGCTTCGGCGCATCAGCAGCGTCGCGGCGGCGCCATCGGAAACCTGTGACGAGTTGCCCGCCGTGCTGGCACCGTCGGCCTTGAACGCCGGCTTCAGCTTCTGGAGGGCCTCGATGGCCATGTTGGCGCGAATGCCGTCGTCCTTGGTGACTGTGATTGTCTGCTCCTCTCCGACCTTGTTGCCCTGCTTGTCCGTCTCCTGGAATCTTGTTGTGACGGGGACAATCTCCTTGGCGAAGGAACCGTCCTCTCTCGCCCTTGAGGCGTTGTGGTGACTGCGCAGCGCGAACGCATCCTGGTCCGCACGCGAGACGCCATAGCGCTCAGCGACGTTCTCGGATGTGAGACCCATCGCCATGATGCAGTCTCTCGCGTCCTTGACCGGCGAACCCTTGAGGGCGGGCCACACGTCCACGGGGATCGCACGGCTGCCGTAGTTGCGGGTCATGCTCTCCATTCCGGCGCCAATTCCCACTGATATCGTTTCGGTCCTGATCTGCGATGCGATGAGGGCAATTGACTGCAGCGATGACGAGCAAGCACGGTTGACGGTGTACAGGGAGGTGTCGTTGGAGTAGCCGACGTGGTTCATGGCCATGCGCGCCGCCTTGGAGCCGCCGAGCTCCGAGAGAACGACACCGACGGCGACATCTTCAATCTTCTTGGGGTCTAGGTTCGGGTTGGCCTCGAGGGTGGCCTTGAGGACGGTCGACAATAGTTCTTCGGGGTATGCGTCCTTGAGCTGTCCACGGTTCGATCGGCACACGGGCGTTCGCAGCGACGATAGAATGACGACGTCGGAGGGCGCCTTCTTCAGGACGGACGAGATTCCTTTGGGGATAGACATGTTTGTGGTGTTTCTCGGAGCTACGGCCGTCGATTGACTAGAAATGTTGACAGGAAACCAGACTTGTTGTACAGAGAAAAGGAAACAAAGTTTAGAAAGTAGCCCTCGGCCAAGGCTGTTCCGAAAAAGAGTCGGGTAAACGTGAGCGATGTCGCTTGGTAACCGGGAGAGCTTGAGCGATGTACTGCTAGCCAGGGAGAATAGCTCTTCCCCTTCCTCCACTCGATTTCCCCAGCTTGATCCCCAAAGCCGAGGTGGGGGGGGACCCGCATACCATGGCAATTGGGTTCGGCAACCACACGCAGAGCTCTGAGCTCGGTTCCGGGGCTAAACGTTCAACCGGCAGTTGAGTCGGCACCTACACCGAGATATACCGGGATACACCGACGTTTACCGAGAACGGCCCCTGGCTATCCCATTTGGGCATGAGGCCATCATCGGCCAAAACTCCAAGTGTCACACAGTACTAAGTCACCATCTACACTCAACTTGGTGTAACACCAGATGTCGACCTTGAAAAGACTTGAACAATGAGCTTCTTTCACCTTGAACACCTTTTAAGCTCTCGTTACACATACTCATGGCCACGAGGTATTTGATAATTCAAAGTCCGAGTTGACTCCCACTGTGTTGTTTACCAAGATCTATGGTAAATGCAGCCAAGGATACAATACAATGTATGTCCGCATTTGATATGGTGAGCTCTCAATACTAACCCTAGCCCAAAACGGACTTCGTCAAAGCACTAAATGGTGAAGTAGTCATCGTCGCCGAAGCAGAAGCTGGAAAGAAATTTACCCACGTGCATTAGCGCAGGAGCAGAGGATAGCCCATACTTGAAGCCTAGCAATCTTTAATCAGTCTCTACACGGTGTCCAATGGCAGCTGTACACTTCTTCCAACACCGTGATGCCTTGACGGTCAAGGGTGTTGAATGAATGATGTGTTCCTTAATTTAACGCAGAGAAGGCAATGTGTCTGTCCTCGGAAGGAGACTAGCTCTCCAACGTCGTCTCATGCCGATATTGTGCTTTTACATCCAGGCCTCCTCCAATAAAAGCAGGTATGTTCACACTTCACTTTGAAAAACATTGCGTTTGTTGGGAGACACTCCAATGGGAGCTAGTGAGCTGCTAAGCATCGGCTTTGCCCCCAATATGCACACCGGTAAGCGAACGAAGCTGCGGCTTTGTCGAAGAAACCGATCCTGAATAGACTCATCAAGGTCTTTCATCTCTCCTACGGGACGAATTGATTTAAATCGGCCATGGCGACGACCATGTGCTGTAGAGTCGTTGGCAAAACGTTGCAGCAAACCGTCGATACTTTGACTGAGCAAACCAAAACACCAAACTCTGTATGCCATCTGTAGACATATCTTCCCAGAATCGTCCAAAAGCAATACTGTAATACAAGAAGAAAACACTTTCAAATCAACCGCAAGTTTTCCGGCAATCTCCATGTCAACTCCAAAGCCACCCTACAAATTCAACAAACTACTTGAGCTTGTCAAAGCCTATAACAACTTCCAGAGAACATCCGATTACTGGGAATTTGGCTACTATCTTGCCAAGAATAAGAATGCTTGGATTAAACTGGGGTTTATTCGCCCTCAAGAGGCCCAGCGTCTACAAGGCTACAAATCGCAGTTGGGGGGATATCTTTCGTTCGACACGCAACAGAAGCATATTCAACTAGACTCGATTCATGTGCAGGACTCGGCCACTGTTGTCGAGGCAATCAAAGCAATAAGAGTTATTCTTTCTCAACTTCCTAAGACAGGAGAGAAGCATGAAGGCAACTTTGGCACAGGCCTCTGGGAAGACAACGACGAGATGTGGCCGTTGTATGGTTTCGGTTTCCTAACCGGTTTCCTCTGTGGCTTGTCCCCCATCTTCGGTATCGTAACAACTGGTGTTCATCTGAACGTCTACAAGCGCGAAGGCGCCACCTTCCGCATTTGGGTCGCGCAACGTTCGGAAAAGAAAAACTTTCCTCGCATGTACGATCAGTGTGCAGCCGGGGGCTATCAGTACCAACTCACTCAGCCGAAAGCCAAGGCCAAACCCAAGCAGCCGAAAACCGAGGATTATGGCGAGTCAAACGACGTGTCTACAAAGGCCTGTATTGAACGGGAGGTTAAAGAGGAGCTAAGGCAAGGTCTACCCGAAAATTGGATCACAAGAGTTGAGGGTCCCCATGCGATTCAGTTTGCTTACATCCGGGACGATAGATCGGGGGAACACCTTGATGGTTTTCCTGAACTCGGTGTGAAGATTGCGTACGACCTCGAACTCAAATCGGGTGAGAACCCCGAATTCAAAAAACTCAACCTAAACGAAGTCTCAGGTGTCACGTCATTTCTAGTGGATGAAATCGTAAATCTCCTTCTCAAAGATCAATTCAAGCCGAACTGCGCACTCGTTATGGTTGCTTTTCTGATTCGACTTGGCTGTCTGGGGAAATACGCTTCAGCCCAAGATATAGGGGATATTGAAAAAATGCTCAGAAAACACCCAGCTGTCGATGTTCTTCCTCATTGGGAATTGAGTCAAGAGCCAAAGACATCAGGACAAAAGCGACGCTGAGGAAAAACTCCGAACAGGGCTGCTGGCGGTTATACACCTGAGCTACGAGCAGTATCTCGAGAGAGGTATTTGTGTTTCTGAAAGAAACTTACAAATGCCGGACTTTGACGATTGAGGACAAGGGCTCCGCATGTGTGCTGCTTGTAAATAGGTGGATCCCGGTATTTTGCGAAACAAACGTTTGGACGCTCGTTTGGGAGGTTGGAAGAGCGAACTCCTGCCTGGCCCTGAGTTACCGTTCTGGAGAGGCAAAGTGGGTATTTTTCTACCGGCGTTTTTGACTATTGAGAGATCGTAGGGTTTTGAACATGTTGTTTAAGGTGTCACCTCAATGCCTTGCCCGCCATGGAGGCATCGAAGTATGCGTCAAGTATTAGATAAATACACTCGCTGAAATGGAAAACAGGAAGCAGCAATTTATATTACAGCGGATGAATACTAGATGGTTCGTCGTATAAAATTTGACATTGCTCAGACATAAGTTGACATCCGACGGTGTCCTTTGGCCCGCCGCTGGTCTTTGACCTGCTCAGATGCCTGGAAAGATCTTCAATTAGGTATCTCATCGAGACTTTTGACTTGAACCTCTTTTACGCCGTTGAGCTTGCGGCGCATACTGCTGCTCGCAGCGTAGACTGAAAGTGTTAAAATCCGAAGTATCAGGGCGTTCTAACACCAGTATTGTAAGATGGACGACTTACCTGCCCGCCGAAGCCTGTTCGAGCTACCCAATGGTTGGAGACTCTTCAACCCATGCCATGGGTCAACACGAGCATAGTCTTCCCAAAATCTCTTCCTCTTGTAATCGAAACTGTCCTGTTGTGGAATCACAAGCTTGCCGACAGTCTGCCAGGGGTACTTCGACTCATCCCACACGGCACCTGAGTACTCGACAGGCTGGTCATCGATATTCTCTAACAGCTGCACTTGGAAGAGATATTCCGCATCGTGGTGCGCATGAAAATTCTGCAACCACTTTTGCAGGATGGCCTCGTCATGCTCTGGCTTCACAGTCTCGTCGTAGAGCTTCCTCTGCGTCTCGGTGGATGGAACGAGGGAGTACTTGATGACGTAGTCTCCGAACCGGTACGCTGTCTGTGAATACTGTCGCGTGGATTCAAGGTGAGTGTTTCGGACCTGGTCTCGAGCGAGTTGGAGCTGGGCGTCTTGGCGAGCGTTGAGATGTTTGTTCAATTCTTCTTTGTTGCCAGCATGCTTGAGCCGAAGCCCGATAATTTCCTTTGTCGTCTTTGCATCGGCGAGGTCAATGGCCGGGGTACTGTTGAATTCAATGTCCTGGGTTGGAGTATCCTTGCCTGCTTCAAACATTTCTCCTTTGACGTTGAACAGCTTCATGGCAAAGCCCCGGGGTTGGGGGATGCGATCCTGCAACGAGTTAGCTATGTACACTGTATTGGACGATGTAAATCAGCGAATACCCACATCAAGACCCGGGTCACCGGGCTCTGAGCTGTACCGACAGGCTGCAGGGTACTCGCCGCCGTGTTGGAATAGTTCCGTCTGCTTCAAGTGGGGAGGCAAGTCATCAGGGACGATAAACGTGCCTTTGACGATCCCTTGTGTTCTGGCATGAGTACCGCTGTACCCATGCCGTGTCGAGTTCCAAGTTCTGCGCTGTCCCTCGTTGATCATATCAGCAACGGCTTGGATGTCCTCTGCTTCGTTTGGAGGCACTTCTTCAACCCCTTTGGCGTCCCACCGCACATAGGCACGGGTGGAGAGGTCTCCGGCTGGAAGGACGCTGTTGATGATGGTAGTCATGACGTCTTGGCGTGATATCTTTTGCTGCTTGAAAGCTGTATGTTCAGGATGGAAATATCTATCAAATAGACATGTAAAATCCTGGAAATAGGAATATGCTAGGTATTAATGCTTCCAGACTTGTCATACACAGCAGCATTGCCGTTCCTCCACGCGACCAGTGTAAGTGTTGCAAGATCGCCTCATTGATATTCGGGTAGAACGTGTTGGCTCATGCTAACCCAAGCGCTATGTATCATCCGATGGCGCTACACGGCGACGGCGTCGAATACCCCGCAACAACCGCTCTGTTGTAGAAGCTTGTGAGACACTCTTCCAAATCCTGGATGCCAATCAGGGAATGCCTTTTGCAATCCTTTCATCCGGATCAACGGTCGAAGGTCTCTGGATGAGCCTGGCCATCTCTCAAATGAGAGATCACTGTCAAGGTAGTCGGTTGGCATGACGCGGTTCCTGTGTTGTCTAGGTAGGTACGTCGCAGAGAGCAGCGGGTGCACACGGCTATGATCGGGGTCAAGTCTGATCTACTTTTACGGAGTACCTTATCTTATGCTCATTCAGCTCAGTACACTGAGTGCTAGTATACGGACTAGACAATGGAAGAGAGACGATTGAGCGACGATACCAACGGACTCGGGGACGTCCAACTCTCGGAGCTGTGACGCCAATCCGCCGTGGCAATTTGGACCTTTCCCCCGGGACCAGGTCGGCCAATCGGCCCCACCCGCGCCGCGACCGGAGACGCCGAGGTCAGCTGCTGCGGCCCAACTCCACTCCCCTCAACGGCATTCCCCTGCATCTTATTCTGGGGCCACTACGCGAAGCTGGATGATGGATCTTGGCCGTGCTCCCCGGGGGCATGCAATAGCTAATGGCGTGCAGCAGCACAGCAAGTGAGTGGCTGTGGTCGCACCGCTAGAGAATGCCAGAATGAGAGTTCGTCCGATCCAGTTCTTGAAACGAGCTCAGCCGATCACAGATGTACTCGGCGAAACATGATGACCCATACCAACAAGTCGGGCCGCTAAATGTTGGTAACTGCCTTTGACGATTGCAAGATAAGTAGATAATGACAGAAACTATTATTGGTAATATCGCGATGGCTTCATGAAACTTGGAATTTCCGCGTTTGGCAAGTTGGCAATCCACGGAACACGAGCTTTTAGTCATTGATTCGCCATCAACCCCTCTACGTGTACACCCGAGGAACCGAATGCGAATTACCCAACAGCAGACAGCAGCAGACTGGATGGGGTCGCGTCATTGGTGGCTTGTCCATCAGCTCACGGCCTGTGGCTTGCAAGTTGCAGCAGGGCTGACAACCACCCCGCGCAGTGACTGCGCCACGGCGACATGACGACTGGATAGAAGCTGAGCCGAGGGGCGCGGGCAAAACGCTGGTGGTTCTATGGCTTATGGGCCATGCTCCATAGATGGATAGCGGGGGAAGAAACTTAGCTTGACTGGGAACAAGTCGGGAGAGATTCAATCCCCGTCCCGCGGTGGGCTGCTTGCGGTATGCATGTTGTGCCCGTCCCTGCTAATTTCCGCAAGCTCCGTCTGACTAGGTGATTAGCGTTCCTTCGAGACTCAGCAGTAAGCAAGTCTGACGCCTTTTTATAAAGCTTCAGCATTCCCCTCTTTCTCGGCTGTTGATCAGCTCACTCAATAATATATCAGACTTCAATCGATACTACGTCTGCTACACATCGTTACCCACCTATCTCAACTCTCAACTCACCAACCCTCAATCATCAACATGTCCGCGAACGACTACTACGGCGGCGGCGGCGGCGGCGGCCACAACCAGAACCAGGGATACGGAGGCCAGCAAGGATACAACCAGGGCGGTTACGCACCTCAGCAGCCCACCTATGCACAGGTAGGACCTTCAAGACAGTCCTCAAGTTAACGAGAAGCAACATCGAGGTCAGCAATACTAACACCTCTCAAAGGGCCAGCAACACCACGGTGGCGGCGGCTACCCTCAGCAGTCGCACTCTCCGTACCAGCAGGGCGGTGGCTACAACGCCCCTCCCCAGCAGCAGCAGCAGCAGCACGGATACGGCGGACCCCAACAACCAACCTACGCTCAGGGCAACCAACACCAGCAAAGCTACGATAACCGAGACAGCTATGCTCACAACCAGCAATTGCAATATGGCGCACCTCAGCACGGCGGACAGTCTCAGCACGGCGGACAGTCTCAATACGGCGGACAGCCTCAATACGGTGCTGGTCCCGGCGGTCCCGATCAGGATAAGGGCCTCGGTGCAACATTAGTCGGTGGCGGAGCGGCCGGATGGGCGGCGCACAAGGCCGGTGGCGGTCTCCTCGGAACCCTCGGCGGTGCAATTGCTGGCGCTGTTGGTGCAAACATGTTGGAGAAGTGAGTGACTACTGTTCAATTCGATTTTTCAAGCACACGACTAACATGAACCAACTTTAGGGCAGGGAAGAAGCATAAGAAGGAGAAGAAGGACAAGCATAAGAAGGACCCGTACCGCAAGCGCAGCGGTAGCAGCAGCTCCAGCTCCAGCAGCGACTAAGGAGGCTCTGCTTTAATTTCCTAAACACTTTTGGTGCCCAAACTTGGATGATACCCCCCCGCCCCGATTCAATCTCTGTCAAGCGCACCGGGAGAACGACTGCCGATGAATGCTTGGACTTCCACACAATAGATGTTAATGTATTATTAGCCACGAATGATAACACTTGAATTGAACAAACACAAATGAATGAATCGCTTACTGCATTGCTTTCACTATTGGTATCTTAAACACAGGCTTTACAATTACAGCACCATCTCACTCCATCGTCTTGAGATCCTTTGCGACCTCAAATGTTGCGTCCGTCTTCGACTTCACTTCTTCAATGTTAACACCGGGCGCGACCTCAGTCAGTGTCAGGCCGCCATTCTTGCGGTCGACCTCAAAGACACACTATCGTCATGTTAGCAACGAATCTCTCAATCGATCGCCACATGCCACATACCAGATCAGTAATGATCGTGCTGACAACACGAGCACCAGTCAACGGCAGACTGCAGTCCTGCACAATCTTGGAAGAGCCGTCCTTGGCAACATGCTCAGTCGCGACAACGATCTTGGTGTTGTCGGGGTTAGACACCAAGTCCATAGCACCACCCATGCCCTTAAACACCTTGCCGGGAATCATATAGTTGGCCAAGTCGCCCGTGGCGCTGACCTGCAACGCACCGAGGATAGAGACGTCGACGTGGCCGCCACGGATCATGCCAAAGGACTCGGCACTATCGAATGTTGAAGCGCCGGGGACGAGGGTGACGGTCTCCTTGCCAGCATTGACGATGTCGCTAGAGTTGGACATGTCAGCTCGCGCATCTCACTTCCTCTCAAAGGTATACTTACGCATCGACCTGGTCCTTGGTTGGGTAGGGACCCATGCCCAAGATTCCGTTCTCTGACTGAATCCAAACGTTTCGCTCGGCCGGGAGGAATGAGGGAGCAAGAGTCGGGATACCTATTATCGTCAACATCTGTCTTCAAACTTCGTGGGGCCTGAGTTTGAGCCTGAGCCTACTCACCAACGCCAAGGTTCACATAGAAACCCTCTTGCAACTCCTTTGCCGCACGTCTCGCGATGCGATTGCGCCTCGCCTGCGCGTCGTTCTTGGGCGCATTCAAGTCCTCACCCTCGCCATCCTCCGCCCTCGTCTTGAGGATCTCGATGTTCTTCTCGGCGGTCGAGGGCACGATTCGGTCCACGAAAATGCCGGGCAAGTCGACGTCGTTGGGGTCAATTGCGCCCGCCTCGACAATGTTCTCCGCTTCGACGATGGTGACTGTCGCGGCCTTGGCCATGATGGGTCCGAATGCTTTGGTGGTGTACCTGCGCGAACATACAGTCAGCAAGCTTTCTCAACGTGTCGAAGCTATTCGTGAGTGCTGCACATACCTGAACACGCAGTTTCCAGCTGTGTCTACCTTCCATGCTCTCAGGATAGCAACATCGCCAGTCAGAGCAGTCTCCATGAGATATGTCTTGCCGTTAAACTCTCTCGTTTCCCTCGTGCGACCGCGTTCCTTCACCGCACCAGAAGCATCGAGCTTAACGGGGATGTCGCCACTTTGAACCAATGAGTCTACCAAAGGGTCAGCTAAGCTCCCCATATCTCCAAAAAGAGTTACCTACGAGCTCCAGTAGGGGTAAAGAAGGCGGGAATTCCAGCACCGCCGGCACGGATCCTCTCAGCGAGCGTTCCCTGAGGGCACAGCTCAATGCCGATCTCTCCAGTGAGATACTTCTTCTCCAATGCCTTGTTGTTTCCAAGGAATGACAGGATCAGGCGGTTCACCTGGCCAGCCTTGGTGAGGACAGCCAGACCACCCTTGCCTTCTTGGCCGGCATTGTTTGAAACTGCTGTCAAGGAGTGCAGGTTCTCTGAGCCTCTGCGGTTTAGTGCACCGATGATTGTGTCTGTTGTCAAACATGTCAGGCACTTCCCAATTCTCTGGCCTTGCAAGACAGAGCATCATCGGACTTACCAGCAACACCACACAGTCCGAATCCCGAACTCAGAATAGTTGATCCGCTCTTGATGTCTGCAACAGCCTCGTCGGCGGATGCATACAGCTTTGAGCTACCTCTCTTCGTAACAGTCGCCTTCTGTGATCTGCGGACCGGTGTCGTCGTTATGCCCCGGCATGTCGCAACACCAAGGACCTTTGCGCGGGGGAAACGTTGAGGTTGCGCACACACTGCGGGCACAGCTCTGAAGGATGCGCGGACCAGCACCCGCGGGCGCAACTGGCGCGTAATGGAAGACATTTGTTCGGTCCTTTTCTGGAGGAGAGGCAGGCTTATCCACAAAACACAAAAGGGAAGGTTTCAGTCAATTGTGACGAGAGACCATAGATTAAGCACAAGTAAAAGAAAAAGGAAGGCCGATAAGTCGGGGAGCAAATCTACGTTCGGCTTAGGTGGGCGCGACCTCATCTTTTTGAACGGGTTCCTGCGCGGGACGCCTCGGCCGTTCTTTTGCACGCCGACTGCGAAGAGGTCCCTCCGCTCCCGCGGTCCAGCAGTGGCTTCGGCATGAGGGGGAAGACGCAGGCAAAGACAGGGGAGTCTCTGACGTCTTCATGGCGGGGCACCGGGAGTTGTGGGAACTCGGAGTTTCTTCTGCAGTAGCTCTCGGAGACCAAAAGTAGATTCCGAGTCAGCTTCCTGGCGTACAGTAAACAAAGGCTTGTCATTGGTCTGGACGGGATGACGGCAAAGTCAGAGAGACGATCCGGGGATGGTCTAAGATACTACCCGCCGTGGGTTCGTCCTCCCCCGCAGATTTAGGGTCTGGGGAAGACGGGCTTCAAAACGGGGGAGGGACCCCCAAGCTTTGCCCTTGCTTGGCAGATAGAAACTCAGGTCTTGTTGTTGTCTTGTCTTCGACTGTTGTTCTCGTCTTTTCAGTCTCTTCTCATAGTTTCCCAAGGTTACACTGCCAAACTTTACCCAAATTCGATATGACATCGAAGGACTTTGACATGGACCCCAAGGTTGAGCATGACGAGAGCCACCTAGAGGTTGAAGCAGAACGTCAACGGCATCTCACAAAGACTCTGCTCTTCAAAGTTGACACTAGGTGAGCGCTTTACCCAAGTCTTGAACTGTAAGTGATCATTTTGAGGGCTCACTTCAACTAACGCGCAACGATTGACAGGGTCCTACCACTCTTGGCTCTACTATTCCTCTGTTCCTTTCTCGACCGAACCAACGTCGGCAACGCAAAGATTATTGGCCTAGTAGAGGACCTTGGCATCAGTAACAACCAATACAACCAAGGCTTGGCTGTTTTCTATGCGACATACATCGCGAGGTAACATCTTTCCGTCCGTTCTCAGCTGATCTTGGCGCTGTCAACGTGCTCTCGTCCCATGTGGTTCCCCACAGTCGTCCGGTCGCTAATGCACGCCCAGCGAACTGCCAAGCAACCTCGTCTTGAAGAAGGTCTCACCGCGGATATGGCTGCCCTTTCTTACCTGTGCTTGGGGCATTGTTAGTAAGTCAAGTCTCTTAACGAAGGTGGTCCCAATGATTAAGATTGCCGACTTTATAAAGCCATGTGCCTCGGCTTCGTCCCGAGCTACGGCAGCTTCGTCGCAGTCCGAGCAATCCTGGGCTTGACTGAGGGCGGACTGCTTCCCGGTATGGTGCTGTATCTATCCGGCTTGTACACCCGTGGAGAACTTGCCCTACGCATCGGCATCTTCTATACAGCTGCATCTCTCTCGGGTGCATTTGGAGGTCTCCTCGCGAGAGGCTTGTCCGCGATTGGTCCTGCAGCCGGCCTTGAAGGCTGGAGATGGATCTTCATCATCGAGGGCATCCTTGTGAGTGTCTTGAAACCCGACCTGCCTGTTTCATCTGATTCTAACATGTAATTTAAGACCGTCGTGTGCGGGATCATTGCTGCCATCGGGTTGCCCAACAATTTGGCGACAGCGAAGATCCTTACCGAAGAAGAGCGGGTATGGGCACTGCTCAGGCTCCAAGGTCATGCTGGAGATAGATTTGAGTAAGCTGCACACTTGACGCCGAACGTCTGTTTGATACTGACTCTTTCGCAGCTCATCACGCGAAAGGGAAGAGAAGTTTCGTTGGTCCGAAGTTGGTCGTGGCGTTTTCAACCTCCAGATCTGGCTCAGCGCAACCGCATACTTTGCTATTCTGTCTGGACTGTACTCTTTTGGACTATTTGTTAGTCAATCGAAAAGCTTGAAGGTTGTGCTCGTATGGCTAACGAAAACACAAAGCTTCCAACGATCATCAGCGACATGCACATCGCTTCCAACTCCAACCAGGTCCAACTCTGGTCCGTGATCCCGTACGCGGTTGCGACCCCAGTCACAGGTAAGCAATGGCAGCATAAGACTAGACTGATCCGAATCGAAGCTAACTTCCACCATAGTTCTCGTGGCCTTCTTATCCGATCGCCTCCGTCTGCGTGGTACACTGATGCTCTTTGTCCTGCCTATCTCCATCGCGGGCTACGCAGCCATCGCCAATGTCACGGCGCCACAGACGAGATTCGCCATGACGTGCCTGATGGCTATTGGCATGTACAGCGCCGTCCCGTGCGTCTTGGTCTGGAACTCCAACAACTCAGCCGGTCACTACAAGCGCGCGACAACGTCCGCACTACAGCTTGCCATTGCCAATTGCGGTGGTTTCGTAGCCAGTAAGTTGTTGACCTGTCTCCGCCTCAGACTACGACTGACTTTGTCCGCAGCTTTCATCTACCCTAGCACTGATGGCCCGTTGTACCACAAGGGCCACACTGTCATTCTGGGCCTGCTGTGTTATGCGTGGGTGGCGTGAGTAAACCTTTCTGCAATTCATGCCTGGAGATAAAACTAACAGATTTCCCAGAACCCTTATCAATGTTCTTTGGTGCGCCAAAATTAACCGCGACAAGGCTGCCGGAAAGTATGACCAGTTCGTTGGTACAGGCGATGACCGGGAACCTCACTTCATGATGGTGCTGTAGGGATGGCCAAGTAAGAGGTGGATGCCGAGAATTGACGGACATACTAGATCTTATGGTAGAATAATATTCTCTTTCATCGAGTTACGGAGTTTCCTGCGTTCCATCAATATCTTAGACCTAGCCTTTCCAAACGCCCCGTAGACCGCCCTATGTCAATACAAGATCAATATCAGAGCAAGCGCAAACATGCGCACGTCATCAGTCAACATTTTATCTAAAGGAGTCAGAAATTTGGCGCCCTGGGTTCCAATGCATGTCGCTGTAAGGGCAACCAACATCAGTACTTGGTATCGTGACGGGTTGTGTCCGAAAGAAATCAAGCACGTTTGACGATACGATGGACTGGTGCATGGAAGTGTTGATGTGAAACAAAGCTTGGATTCATGAAGGGCTAAATGATCCGGTCCTGGAGCCCGGTAGTGTACAGCATCTCGACGAGAACCACAGGTCCCCGCGACCTACAACTTGGACTCGCGTCCTGGAGCGAAGTTTGACCTCGCAGCTCCGCCAATGGCCTCCGTGATGGTATCGACTGACTTCAAAATCCACTCGCTGCCCTCGTCGCTAGCAAGCCACTCCGCGCCCTGGATGTCCTCCTGGTTGTCCGACTTGTGTGTGCCGTCCTCAAGTCCCTTCCTCAAGCCAAAGACGTGCGACAGAACCTGCGGGCCAACACCGGTTTGTGCTCGCAAGCATGAAATAGCAATCATCGAAGTCAGCACTCTCCCGACGCTGGCCAGACCTCCCCGCTCCTTGGGTTCCGATAGCAAGCCAGCATAGTGGCTGTGGAGAATGTGCACTGGAAGATCCGGGTGCGATTGCGCCAGCTTCTCGTAGAGCTTGACCTCGAAGGGCGCATAGATCGAGTCCCAGAGTCCCTGACCGCGAACCGTGATGGCGTCAATATTCTGCGCGTTTGGTGTCCGCGTCGGCTTCGTCTCCAGTTGTGCCGTAACGTCATTGGGGAGGCTCGCGTAGAAGGCGTTGAGGCAGTTGATAGTGCGGGGGATGCCGTTGAAGCTGATGCACTTAAGGCCGATCTCTCGGATGAACTCAGCCGTCTCGCGCTTGTCGGGACGACCGGAGGAGGAAGCGACGCTGTAGAGGGACTCTAGAGATTCGGGGGAGTTGAGTGTGAAGGTTGCTGCGGCCTAAGATGTACCGAGGTTAATGACGGAGCCCGTACCACTGTCTCAACAACTCAATTGTAGTCAATTGAGCAACACAATGGAAGCTGCGAAGTCACAAAGCAACGGCGTACCGAAATTGTTAGCCACGGCTTTGCGCCGACATTCTTCGACGCCGCATCCTTAGCGATGGCCTGGTAGACCTCGCGAATATGCGACGGCGCAGCCGTCTGGCCGGGGCGGGCAAACGGCGCGTTGATAAGTGCCTTGAGCGACGGTGAGAGCTTCGACATGGTTTCCTCTGGTTTTCGATCACTGTGGGAACTCTTCTGCTTCAGTTCTTTCTCTGCGGGCGCATCATCCATCGGACCAGGAGGCGTGCGTTCAAGCAAGATGGTGGGATGCAGAAGTGGTTTTGTTTCCCCGATTGAACGAGACCGGAGGGGTTCCGCAAGTCGGAAGACAAAAGAAGGTCCCTCGGCCGTGCGTCTCGGACTCAAAAAGAAGTGCCGATGCGACGAGTCCCATGTGACATCAGCGTGGTGAAACTGGAGCTCGACTATTTCAACATTGCGCCGAGCGGCCGAGAGCTCGCCGGCTCTACATTTGGAGTCCGAGGGATTGTGGGAAGAGAACGAGACCAGCGCGTATCAACGGACAGCGGGCGGATAAGCTCAGACAAGGGATCGATGGTAACAATGCCGCATTACTTATCAAAAGAGCATGTCCACAGATCGAGCTTCTGAAAATGGATGTTGAGAAGTCCCTTTGGCACTTTGGCACTTGGTTGCATGTAGCATTGCATATACCCACAGCAACATCAGCACACGATGTCCGGCACTAGCAAGCAGAAGGAGCCTTTCTGGCTCGGGTGAGTAACACGATTCCAGGTCGAAATTAGAGGTTGCACTTTGAGCTGACTGATGGTCGCAGAGGTGCTGCAGCCTCAATGGCAGTCTGTTTCAGTACGTTCGCCTTCGAGCGGCACTACAGTATTCAGTCTGGCTACTAATCACGCGAATGTAGCACATCCTTTGGACCAAACGAAATAGTAGGTCGAGAGCATTCCTCGAGTTATAGACTGCGCAGATCGGATACTAATTTGAGTAGTCGAATACAGGTTCTCAAGTCAAGAGAGTCTATGTTTCGAGCAATGTACCGTTTCGCAGCCAGAGATGGTGAGAGGCAGAAATCAAATTTTGGCGTCGTCGTCACTTACACTGGCCAGGCTTCTTTTCATTATGGTCTGGACTGTCAGCGTCCATCTTCCGACAAACCACATATTCCACCGCCCGGTTCGGTCTCTACAACTACTTTGCGCAACAGGCTAAGCAATGGACGGGCCAAGAGAAGTTGACTACGGCGATGACGATATCGTGTGCTGGGTTGGCCGGAGGCATGGCGGGACTTGTCGGAAATCCTGCTGAGGTACTACTACTGGCATTACTCCATAGTGCATCGCATCCGCTGACAGAAACTTAGGTTGTTCTCGTCCGTATGTGCGCTGACGGAGCAAAGAGTGTTGGCGAACGATTCGCATATTCAAATGCTGTCGAGGGCCTCTACAGGATAGGTCGCGAAGAGGGTGTTGGGGCATTCACCCGAGGCATCTCTGCCAACGTGGTGCGCAGTATCCTCATGAGTAAGTCAAGCACAAATCTCGGAAACGACTGACATGTTTAATTGAAGCTGATATCAAATGATAGACGTGGGACAAATCGCCACGTAAGTGCCAAAGGAGTGGACATCCACGAGTGAGGGACTGCAGAAATCAAGGAAAACTAATGTGAAAGCACGAAACAGATACTCGACAGCGAAACGCATCCTCCTGCAAAATGAAATGAAGGACGATATCAAAACACATGCCGTAGCATCCCTCTTTGCTGGGACTGCGGCGACAACGATTTGCGCGCCAGCCGATGTCCTCAAGAGCAGGATTCAGAGTGCTGTTGCGAGCGGCCCAGGCGCAAACGTGAGTAGAGAGTTTCAGTTCCAGTCCATCGAAGGCATTTGACTAATCGAACATAGTCTTTACTTCGTATTGTGCAAACGGGTCTGAGGGAAGAAGGTGCAATCTTCTTGATGAAGGGATGGACCCCAGCGTGGTTGAGATTGACGTAAGTCGCATCCATAAGGAAATGTTAATGATGTTGCTGATGTCGTGTACTGCAGGCCGAATACTGTCCTGACTTTTGTGTTTATGGAACAGCTACGAAAACTGACGCAGTGGCAGTTCGCCGCCCCGGTCGAAACCATGAAGGCATGATGTGCGCAATATGGTGAACCAAAGGGTGTTCCTCTAGAACCCAAATTCTGTCAGGTTAGGCCAGCTTAACCAGTCAAAGTTATTCATGTCATCCCAGGATAAGCCCGCGAATGAGGGATCAAACTCGTTGCCTGGCTGGTTGAGAACTTCGGCAATCTGATCGTCAGACATGGCAGAGAACTGCAAAGTCCCGGGCCATAGCTGCGACTCCATATAGGGTGGCTGCGAGACTGGTGGTCCCATGTTGACGGGAGGCGAGGCTGCAACGGCTGATGAGGGCGTTTCGAGCGGACCGCTGCGAGGGATAGTTGGGTCGGGATGCATACTCGTCTGAGGCTGGCCATCCATGGCCGTGGCCGCCTTTTTGACGATATGTCTGAGATATTTTCCGTACAGTGTGGACAAGCCATTTCTGTGCTTCGTAGCAGAGCCAATACGTTCCAAGACATCTGCCGTTTCTTCAATGAGGTTTCGAATGCTAGGCGCCAAGTTCGAGCTGCCTGTGGCGTAGGCGCTCAGAGTCAGCGCGAAACAGGCTGCAAACGAGACCATGATTGTCGTGTTGTTCGGGATCGACTGGAGCTGCGACTCTCCTTGGATCGCTGCTCGCATGACCGTCACAGCAGACGATAGCCCGGCCGTGCGGAAGAATTGTCGGACTTCCATCGGGGCGGTCGGGTGGTTGATGACGCCTCCGTACGTCGAGAGCCGCGTGTGGGTGACGAGAATCTCAACGTACGGAGGCAATCGGCGTTGGGGGCCTGTGCCAATGGCATAGCCCCATTCGGTCAGCCATTGATCGAAGAATCTTTCAATGGCACTCTGAATAGACTGGGCGATGAGACCGCCGTCGGTGGATATTCCCTGCGACCCGTCGCAAAGCGCGCGGACAGTGTTGAGTAGTCCGTCGAGGTCTCGGCGAAGAACGGCCATCGAGACTAGATGACCATCCATGGGGTCAGCAATGCTGGACCGATGCCATTGGTCGCAGTCTTTGATGACCCGGGTGATGGGTACTGTATAGGGCCGGCCGCGAGCGAGAGACATGCCTCGTTCGAGAACGAAGAGTGCGATCCAGCAGCGCTCGCGGCGACGAAGGAGACGTTGTCCGAGATCAGAGGTATGTTCTATGTGGCTGAAGCCGTCCATGGCCAGCGCAGTCCGAGGATCAATACAGTCTCCACGGGACAATGCCATGTTGAAGCCGGAACCGACAACTTCCATTGGGATGAGGAGCTTATTCAAGGACAGATCAATGGCGATAGTGGCAGCCATGTTGACATACCAGCAAGTCTCATCATCAGTGCTATGCTGGCCAGGAAACATCCACGGAACGTTGACCATGAATGCAAGCACAATCTCGACAGACTTGTGTCGGTTCGCGATAACTCTATGTGCGAGGGTCTTGCAATGGTTTGACAGTCTCTTGGACAAGGCACCAGCGGACGGAAGGAACAGGGCCGATGCGGCCATGATAGAGGTGCACAGGAAGGCAGAGCGCGAACGGGTGAAGGATGGAGTGTAGATCTTGGGATCAAGCCCCCATCGGGTGTGGGCAAGCTTGCCATGGAAGCTAAATGGTGAGCTTGACAAGGCTCTCATCGACGGTGGAGGCATGTCACTTACAAAGCAAATAGTGATTCTGCCTCTTCTTCGGTTACAAGACCCATAGTGATGGGATCTATGTCATCGCCGACATCGAAGTTGACGCGAACAGAGGTGAAGAAGGATCGGATCTCCAAGTCCCCGTCGGGTTGTTCGACCTGCTTCTTGCGACCGGCGCGGGGACCTGGCTGCTTTGGCGACAGGCCGCTGATGGGCTTGGGCGAAAGTTGTAGGTTCGAGGCGCGCGCCAGGAGTTGAAGTGGGTTTTCGGCATCGTCGATTGCCAGGCTCTCCTCATTGTGATGATGCAAACTCATATAAGTGTTGCTGTCTGGGGTGTTATCCAGGTCATCATCATCGTCAGATGAGAGGTCGGGTTGGTTGGGGCTGTTGAAATGCGATGAACCCCGCCTTAAGTGAGAGGAGGCGGTAGTTGACCGAGCATTTCGAGAGCCCTCCAGGAGCGCCTGGAGACTGCCGATGGCCTTGTCATCTTCCGAGTTGTGTTCACCGGTTCTGGCTCTTTTGATGGCCTGCTCTATCTGATATAGAGCTTTATCTAGGCCCTTTCGCTTGCTATTACACGTCCGACCAATGGTCAATACGACATCAGAGAGTGGAGGGGGAGTTGCGGTGCAACTCGGAGGGGTTGTCTCGGCCATGGGGGGCCATCTGGTCTCAACACCATTAGACGGGGGCGGAGCTGGGGGCCCTTACTTCTTGATTCCCTTCTGTCTTCCGGCGTGGAACGTAGGTCGTATGCACTCAGTGTCGAGCTGAATGCACCTCTTGCATTTGTTCTCATGCGGAGAATAGTCGCACTTGATCTTGCTTCGGCGGCAGACCAGACAGGCGGCCTGCTTTGGACGTAGCGATTGAGGATCCTCCATCCAGGTGAGGGGAAGGTGAGAGGAGCCCGGGTGCACTTTGGCGATCTCGGTGAAGAGCTAAAGTGCTCTGGACGGACAGCAGCAAGCGATAAACTTTGAATCAGAGGAACACGCGTTATTTCTCGACGGAGTGACTTTTGGGGCTGGGGTCGAGATGAGATCCAATATCAAAGCGGCCTGGTCTGATGACTTTTTGACGATACAAACACGCTACCCCTAGAGCAGACAGCTCTGCTGAAGATGGAAGTGCTAAAACATTGGAACTTGCGAATCACTGACAAGAAGTCTACTTAATTGAAGGGTCCCCGCCAAGCACCAGCCATCAGGGAGGAGGGAAGCTCGTCCTGTGACTCGCGTGAAGCCGGAATCATTGGGGAAAGTTGAATGAGGGCACGAATCAGCATGCAGCTATGGACCCGTCTGCCGACTTGAAGGAGCTTAGTCATTCCCTCATCTCTCTTGGCAATTCAAAGAGAGATTACATAATGTCCAAAGTCGAAGTCGAAGTCGAAAGCTGTCTGATCTTCAGGGAGCTGGTGCTGCTGCTGCTGATGCCAAGGACACTGCGTAATACTTGGCTTGGCCACACTTTGCCCTCAATACCAACAAGAGCACTTGAATCACTCACTGTCGATCACCAACCTCTCGACACCTCTCGAATCCTCTTAGAGCTCTAGAGCAATTGTGAGTAAACAGGCAGAAGCAATGCCACAGCTACGCCTCCGCAAACAACCGGGGCCAGCCCAATCAAGGCCAAAGTCCCTAGATTCACAATCACCAACATGTCCCATCGTCCCATCAGCCCGCATCAGGAGTAGCTTGGGGGATCAACCACTGCTTGATGCCTTGCCGTATCGATACGGCCCATCAAGTTCACGGCAAAGCGGCCTCGGCTATGAGGCCAAATTCGGCCTCAATCTCACTTGTTCGAACCAACGCGAGGATCAGTAAATACTTAAGTACGGGACTTTAGTTTAGGTAGATCCATACTCGAAGAAAACCTTTCTCAAGCTGAAGTTCCAATATGATTTAAGCTCTGTTCCCCCCTCAACCCCGCCACCATGACACCTTGGCTTGGTGCTAAGCTCTCACCGCAGCGATTCTCAAGGATTGCCACAACCATCTGTCACTTACATACGACAGCAACAGCCCGAATTGTTCATAGATCGAAAATGATGGCAGACTCAGCGTCCATCAGGCATACTACTCTTCGGAATGGCACTCCGAAGGAGGTTGCCGAATACCTCAAAGAGCTTCGAGCCAACGTCGCCGATCCGACATCCATCACATTCAACCTGCATGATGCAGTCGTGCGAGGTTCCATCCCGCACAGCATCTTCTCAATCTGGATCCCTATATCCGACGATGCGAAGTCGATCATAGCATCGCTCAGTCAGTCGGGGAGCACGCACGAAAGACATGCGGCCATCCGGGTATTCCTCAAGGCCATGCGATCAGAGGAAACGATGACTCCCGTATGAGATGCCGCAAGTGGTGCTCAAGGGGTTGCAGCAAAAATGAGTGGTCTCAGCGTCAGGGAGGTCAAAATGCTATGCAACGGCCTCACCAGTACAGCTTCCCTCCCACGTGGACGATCGCAGAGACACGCAAAATTGACAGAATTGGTCGCCATCCTCGGCACCGGAATGCCGATTTCCAAAGAAAATCCAGATGCAAGGCCGCTATTATCTCATTACAGGAGAATCCTGCCGGCCTGCACGATCGATCGAGTAGCCGAGCATGAAGGGACATCGCCCAAATGGACAGCAAGACAACGTTCTAACTTACTTCGCAACCACCCAACATTCTACGAAGCCAAGTTCCTGGACTCCATCTTTTCGAACAAAGAATCTCCTACTGCCAAATTCGATGCCGACACGTGGACACAGCTCATCAATAACAACTTTAGCTTCGCCAAGGAGGTGCTCCTCAAATTTCTCGACGCCGGCGATGAGCTGCCCGTCACGCCAGACGTGCTCATCAATCAGATTGCTTTGCCCCTGGCAAGACGATTGCGACGACGTAGAACAGCCACTCAGCAGCATTTCCCGTTCGAAATCCTTGAGCTTCTCGTCCGGCTCATCAGCAGGCATTCCGATCTCCAGAGGATGCTGGATGATAGCCTTGTTGGTATCATGTTCCATGTCATCAAGTTCTGGGAGCATACCCGTTCGACGCGGCCGCAGGTTGAGCAGCACTTGATCGAGCTTTTGAGGCTTACGCCGGAGACAGGGTGGCAATCGGCAAAACAGATCGTTCCGCATCTATGTGCTGTCAAGCCGGCCGTATCCTATCGATTATTTCGACGTATGCTCCGACATCTACCTGCCTTCGAATTCGACATCGACGACGCTATGGTCAACGAAAACAGCTCTCTCTCGAAGATCAAGGGACCATGGCCAGCAAGATTGTTCGTCAAAACGCTCGGATGCGATGATCGGCTTGCGTCCCTCCGCGCTTGATGACTGCTTTCCCTGACGGACGTTTCCTAAAGTCTTCGTGCGAGCCCACGGAGAGTTCAGTCTTTGAACATGATCAAGACTTTTCCTCGGTCAACGGTGACGCATTAGTACTCGAAGCGTTTCTTTTGCGGAGTTTACCGGCTCCAGGCCTCCCGGATACACTTCTTGACAGCAAAATAGACGTAGATCTGGAGAGACGCAGAAGAAAGGCATCATCAAGCCGCGATTGGGAAAGCAGAGCCTTTTGGGCTCGGTCAACACTCAACCTCGCCATCGCGGCGGGCTCATTGGACCTCTACGCAGAGAACCTGCTTTGGGCGAGACGCTTCAACAAAGACGTGTTTACAGTGAGGGATCTTTACTCCGAGCGGGCCATGAAGACTGCCGAGGGCTTAGACTTACTCAGCGGAATTGAAGTGGCTTCTCATGCCGGCAAGCCATATTTCGATGCCGCGAAGTCTGTCCGGTCTGCGAACAAGATCATTATGCAGCTGCTGGAAACCGCATCAATGTCCCTTCGAGAACCTAGCTTTCAGGCTTACGACTGGCAAGCCGTCGTTCAATTGCCTGCAGCTGTGGTTCAAAGACGTTTGCGACTAGTCAATAAGTTCCAAGATGCTCGAAAGCTGACCGATGCTGAGATCTATGAGATCGTTTGGCAGCCAACTTTGGACTTCTTGGTTGAAGTAGAGACTCTCGTGCTTCATCCCAGCCATCACGAGCTCTACACTGACGGAACAGATGGGCTGTACCCCGTGGGGGACTGTTTTGAAGCACGCGACAAGCGGTCTCACGCCTACAAGTTCGTGGACAGGCTAGCCAAGGCACGCGACGAGTTATGGCAAAAGCATCGCCCTCGGCGTTTTCCATCGGTCCTTACTTGGGGCGAACCCTGGCCGAAAGGGTTGCCGGTACAGTCCCTCTTACCGGACAAATTCTTAGGCCTGCAGAACATCGATGCTATGCCTTACGTCCTAGAGGGTCGAAAAGGTTGTCTTCGGAGATCCCAAGGACAAAGAGTCTGGGGAAGCCATAGGTCGGTTTGTGGACGAATACAGCTTTGCCTTGAAATCATACGTCGACGGAGGGGAAGAAAGCTCTCGGCAAGAAGAGCGCACTCGTAAAGCCTGGCGTCATGCAGTCGACAGCCTCAGCGGAGCGAGAATGACGAAGATTGAAGCTCCACGGCTCTGGAAACAACGTTTTGAGTCCGCGGGCGTCTCATTGCCCATGGACATCAAAGCAGAATTCCCGCGACGAACCGAGCCTTCGCTTCCCAAAGCCGAGGATCCAGAAAAGCCAACAGAATGGAATCCAGATCCCAGTCACACGGAGTTTGAAGAGCTAGGTAGCAAGAAAATCCCGGTGGCGATCTTGGACGAGATGATGAGATGTGCCGACATTGGCTTGGGTGATGATTCGGCTTGGATGACGTCTATTTGGACAGATGCAAAGGAAGTTCCGCCCATGGATGGCCCCAATTTCTGGGACGCAAGCCAATTCTCACAGCCTCTTCCCGGGAAAAGTGTAGATGCATACTTCGCATCCCTTCTCCTCGCTCTCAACGCCATTCATGGCTCCGACAGCTCAGTCTTGAAGCACCCATTTCCATCAAAGGTCGATGTTCGATATCCGGCAATTTACCTGGATCAGGACTTTCTTGAGACCGTTGACGAAGCCTTTCGACGCGGCAACGAGGCCTGGGTAGAGCACATCATCAAGTCTGGCCCGCCAGCACTGCTTGTACGGGTTGTGCAATAAATCCTCCAGAACGTAGCTGCCAACGAGAAATCAGAGTCTCCAACGCATGCTCGCATTCAACTGGCTATGAAATTTATCAAAGTGCTAGCGTACAGCGACCAGCCCTCTCTGGCCTTCCCCCTCATTAGAGACGTTGTTCTCAACAGACCAGGCGATAGCGCCTGGCACTGACAACTACTTACCACAGGATTCTTCAACGCCATCCCTCCAAAAGAGGCGAAAAAGCTTCTCTCCATGATCTCGCTCGGCATGCAGGAGAAGCTTGGGGAACAGCATGTCAGATACAAGAAGGCCAAGGAGGAGGGTGGTGAGCTAGCAGCCCAGTCTTCACCCGCCGTCAAAGTTACAACGGTCAAGAGGCTCGCAAAGCTTCTGAGCAATGCGCCGTTCCTAGATATCACATCAGCTGTTGATATTCTCTCCGGTCTTCTGACCAAAGCTCAGCACATTGACATTCGGGTGGCTATCATTCAGACCATGTTCGACACCCTGGAGGCTGAGACAGCTTCGTCCGATGTGAAGAACCGGATTCTCATGGTCATTGAGGACCTCGCTGTGCCACTCGCAGCATCTCTCGATGAGCTGCGTCCGATGACAGAAGTTGATTGGAATCAAGCAGAAGCTGATGGTGAGCTGCCCGAAGTGGTCAAGGCAAATGATAGAACTGCAGCTCCAATCAGGTTTCTGTTCTATCATCTGGATACGAAGCTCCGGAACGACCCTGTTTCTCAAGCAAAGCTGGCCGGTATCACAGATCGATTGATATTGCAGTCCGCAGAGAACAACAGATGGTGGCTGGAGCTGTTTCTCAGGAAGAACGGGTTCTCGTTGCCTCCCGGAGAGAGCCTTCCACTCTCGCCAGTCGATCCCGCCATGCTCAAGATCTTCCCAAGAACTCGGGTGTATTTCTCGCGACCAATGCTTGAGATGCTAAGCCGATATGCTCTCGCTAATGTTCAACCTTCTCCCGTCATGGCAGCCATCACAAAGAAGATCGAGAGCAATCCTACCCTGGAAGATTCGAATGCAGGAAAACACTGGTTGCTGCTCTTTGGCAGAAATGAGCGACAGATGGTCCAGCATGGCTGGACAGACTGTCTGAAGCATATGCATCTACCCCACATGAGCAAAGAAGTCGCTGACCCGAGCGACCGCATCACCGTCGACATGCTCCAACGTTTCGCGGAAGACTTTGCACACAGGCTTATCAGCCATGTGAACCCTTCTTATGTTGAATCGCTGTTCGAAAATTTGTCTGCTACGATGATGAGGGAGAACAATTCCGAGGCGTTGAAGAGCTGGCAATCGACAACGCAGCCCGTGCTACGGTCGATCATCGCGAGAGTCAAGGAGTTACGCACTCCTTCGGGGCAGCGCGACCCGATGCGAGAGCCCAAGGCTCTGCCAGACACATTCCGCCTAAAGGTGGCGATGTTGGCCGTCCCTCCTGGGGGTGCTGACATGGATGCTTTGTTTGCCAAAGAGATTTCGGCATTGATTGACGAGTTGGCAAACGAACATGCCCTCTACCACAACCACTGGGTACATCTGAAGGACCAGCTGGGACGTGAGTTTCCCAATTGGAAGCCACGCCTTGTTTACCTCGCCATCATTCTGGGCGATCTCTCAAACGTGAATATCGAAAGCCCCACGCTGGCAGATTACATGCGAGTCGAAATGGCCAGGGATTTCACGAAGCGGGCTGATGATACCAAGGTCAGAAATGACGCCAATAAGTTGAAGGAGATCCTGCGCACTTGGAAAGAGTCCCCTGTCGAAAAGTTCAGAAGTGACCTGAGGGATATTATCGCATTTAAGCCATCATATAAGTGAGGGCTCCGGCGAGGATTAGACCACATTAAACGTCCGCAACCCCATTTGTATCATTCCAGACTTTACTTCTTTCAAGCCTGTACATTATAGTTCGACAGAATCGAAACTCCGCACCTTACTATCTCTCGGCTCTTAAGTACCTGTAATCATCATCGGCACAGGTAAGGGGCCACGCCGACTGATCGAGCCCAGCATGAACATCCCTTCGGCACTGCGGATACGCCTGACAATTTTCAACGTGGTTTACTATAATTCCCCTCCTGTTCCTCGACGAGATGAGTAGCGAGGCCTGGCCCCCTCGCCAAATTCCCGTGATGGTGCTAGACCCGGTGTTTGTAACCCGTTATCGGTTAGTAGTGCTGATGAGGCCTGCAAACAAATCCTTCATGGGCATTCTCGACCATTGCGACGGGGGTAACAATGCTACTGTGCTACGTCACCATCGCGCGAAGTGTAAGTATTATGTGGTATTCATCCGAAGATGCGATCGTCTTAAGTCGTACACCTCGAGCGAAATCACGTGTCGAACTCTCCGTACGGAAGTCCGTCGTAGAATCGGATGTGATGAAATCATGAAAATTCCTTCTCGTGCTTTCGACATCTTGCGTTAACCTTCATGATCATATTGCTGGACTAGTCACTCAGCTGCATGTTGATCGCATCCGCAATGGCAATCCAAAACACCAACGGCAACTCTGGCCAGCTCCGGGACAACAACCCCAAGGTCGCAATTATAGGCGCGGGGTTGACTGGATTGATCGCCGCACAAGGCCTGAAAAATGTAAGTAGGTGAGCATTGAACCGACCCGCGTCAGATGTTGACAGATATCAGAATGGATTCAACGTAGTCGTGTTTGAACGTGACGAAAGCATCGCGGCTCGGCCGCGGGACTGGTCGATCCTCATCGGCTGGGGCATGAACACGCTCAGAGAGCTCTTACCAGAACAGATTGTGAAGAACTTTCCTCAAGGTATTTGCAATCCACACCTAGAGTTCAACGATTGGGACGAGAGTATTATCGGATACAACGGCGCTACCGGTGAGGTCATGTTCCAAAACTCAACTCCCGGCGCTCGGCGGATCAGCAGACGTCGCCTTCGCAAAGTCCTCGCTGAAGGGCTTGATGTTCGATGGGGAAAGTATCTCGATCGAATAGAGTCCAACAGCACGTCGGTAGAGCTTGCGTTCAGAGATGGAGACACATATGAAGCCGATTATGTCTTAGGAACAGACGGTGTCTCCTCAAAAGTCCGAGAGCTGCTGGTGGGAGTTGAGAAGGCCCGGCCGGTGCCGTCAGGATACTCTATCGCCAACTGTGTCTGCAAGTATGGAGATGCGGAAAAAGTCAAAGCTGTCGTGAAAGCACACTCTGTGTGTGCGCTCATGCTTGGAACGGCGAACCTAGCTGGTTGTGGTGGTGAGTATTTGGTTGATACTCAACAAGTGGTCTGAAGTCACTAAACTAAGATTGTAGTCATGTCCGCGGAAGATCCGAATGATGTTGCCAGTTGGGAGACATTCTGGGTCAAAGTATGGCGCGGCCACTCGGTCAGCCTGAATGGCCAAGAAGCCATCGACTTTGCGAAGAAAGATTTATCAGGCATCTGCGAGCCTTTCAGCTCTGCTCTTGAGTGGACTCCCGAAGGAAGCTCCTGTTATCTTGACGAAATGAAGTACTGGCTTCCCAGTCCGTGGAAGACACACGATGGTAGAGTGACACTAGCAGGGGATGCTGCTCATCCCATGTTGCCTTGTAAGTCAGACTTGTGGATGCATTTGTTAAGATGGCCTTGCGGAGCTAACACTTCGTCCAGTCAGAGGCCAAGGACTTCAACATGCAATCATTGACGTGCAAAACTATATCAACGCACTGGTGAAGCTAAGAGATTCCCGCGAGGCGACTAGCCGCAAAGACATCATGGCGGCATACGGTGCAGATGTCGTTGAGCGGGGTTCTGTTGCAGTCGCTCAGGCTCTGAAAGAAGCCGAGAATTCGCTGAATCCGGACACTGTTGGGGATATGCTCATGGTCACCAAGGGACATGGGAGGTCTATATAATGGCCGAAGGCTGGTAATCATTCTGTCCAAAAGCTTCTGGCCTGTCTACAAACACACAGAGATATCTAGATTAACGATGCACAAAGACGTTACTTACGATCCTTACCGGTCAACTTGTCTAATGGGAGGTGATGGAGGTGGTGTCCTCATTCTAAGTTCTACCCTACGACTGTGAGTGCTTCCTCATCGCTAATTCGGCTGGACGTCTATGAACAGTTACCACGGATAGGCTCAGGCTACGTATACTTCTGACCTCGCCTGCCTTCTTCTGGTTGGTTGCGATATGAGATTCAGCAGCCCCGTTGCTGCCTAAAGAGGTTTCTTTGTCATCACGTTGTATCGTGTCACTTTCTGCTTTCTACCTACAAACGACAATTCCAACATCACCAGCCAGACCAACTCAATCTTGGTGTCAACCTCACCGAATAGCCTCGATTCTACATGTTAGGGACAGAGATTGACAAGCCCGACAAATAACCTCTAGCTATGGAGCCTAAGTTGCCGGCAATACGCAGCCTTACGGATTTCACTGGCTTGAGACAATTATTCCAGGAAGATAAGGATGGGGAAACCAAGTTCAAGTGCACCAAAATTCTATTTGTCGACAAAGACAAGCATTCTTCCTGGATCGGTAGCATCGAGATCCCCTAAAAAGTCGATCCGGAACAGGCTATCGACTGTCTTCGCCGCATTCCAAAAATTTAAATCTACCGCTCTCGGTACATGTAATTACTTGAGACGTCTGCGGTCGATGCTTCAAGCTTCGCTCCTGCCAATGGCGTATGGATCAGACTACCCAACATTGCTGTCTACTCATAAGTAGCAGGAACTGAGTAATGGCCGAGGACTTTCTTAAAGAGATCGGAGTATGTCAACGCATTCAGCAAGATCCTCACCCAGACCTGGCGGAGTTTAAGGAGTGCCTACAGAAGATTGAAGAATGATCGCATTGTTAGGACTCTGTTGAAGCGTTATATAATGACTTTTTCAACACGGGTGGAGGGTTATGGTCAGCCACATGTTCACACAGCTTCATTGTTCGAAGGCAGCAAAGCTGGTATAAAACATCTGCACCAACTTGGATTTGCCCTCAATGACCTGAATACGGAAAACATCATGATTGATTCACAGGACAGACATGTCATCATTGATATGGGCTGTGCCAAGCTGTTTGGGTCGAAACTATCTCCAATGGGTACCCCTGTGTTGGAACAGCAAAGGCTGATAAGGAGTAATAGGCAGGTACTATGGGCTGGCTGGCACCTGCCCTGGGCGAAGTGGGACAACTGGCTTAGTCATCACGGCCGGATAAAGGTGGGGTAACCACCCAGGCCGTCACTACCTACTTCGACCGACTCCTGCCTACAATGTAAGATAGAACAACAACAAGAAGAACAAGCAATAGGATCACCAACAGACGAGTGATAATTGCTACCACTATTTGTCGTATACGACCCCGTGAACCAACACCCTGATTGGAATGATGGGTTTTATTTTTGAATGTATCAAGCGAAGTCAACGATGAAGTTGGCTTGAAGAAGGGTCGAGGAGTGGCTGTTTAGCCCTAAAGTGAAGATAGTCTAAGCTAGATCTCCCTCCCTGGTGTATCGTTGGCAACTTAGCACTGCTTCTTCGAGCCATCAGAGTAGAAGTAGTCCTCGTTGATCTTGATGGCATCAACGTGCCAGGTCTTGCCGTCGTCGGTCGTCTTAATGCCGGTCGAGGTAGCGCCAGTAAGCTGCAGAGAACCACCAAAGGTCTTGTCGGCCTTCTCGAGGGTGGCGGTGACGTTGCTCCAGCCTGGAAGCACGCAGTCAGCATGTGGATTCTTAGACAGACTCCGTGAAGGGGAACTTCAAGGCTCAAAATTGTCAATTTACTGTAGCCAGCGAGGGTTCCGCAGGTGCCTTGGTAGCACTCGTTGCTGGAGTAGATGTAGGTAGGGGTCTTGCCGCTGGCGTCGACTGGAATCATGTATCAGTATGAACTCGCTGATCGGGAAGGCCGAAGAAAGTGCTTACCGTCGGTCTGCTGCGAGACCATGGCGCCATTGATCCAAACCTTCTGGGTCACACCCTTGGAAGCATCGTAGACGACTAAAACACGGTCAATTCTCGGTATTAGTACACTCGAGGGACAGGCATCTCAAACGTACGCTCAAAGTCGACGTCGGACTTGAGAGGAATGGCGACGGGGTCCTGGGCAATCTGGGTGGCTGTGGTCTTTCAGTATACTCTTCCAGATAAGCAACTCGGGTTGTTCTAAACTCACAACCGGTGAAGGTGCTAGCAAACACGCACCACTCATTGTTTGAGGCAGAGCATCCGCTGTGAAAGATGTCATTAGTCGATGATTCAAAGAAGGCTGGAACCCGGATATCTCACTTAGCAACGTTATCCGGGGCCCAGTTCATAACAGGCTGGTAAAGGTTGTTGCTCTGGTCGCTGATAGAGTGGGAGATGCCAACCCAGATCGCCATCCAGCGCGAGTCATTCTTGTTGGCGATGACGGTGCCGCAGGGGGTGGACGGAGAAATGAAGGAAGTAAGTGGCCTTGGTAATAACACTGGTATCAGAGCCCAGGGTGAACATGTTGCCAAACTTCCACGCATCGTACTGGCCGGCAGCGACAATTCGCGCAGCGAGAGGGAGAGCGGCAATGGAAGAGAATGAACGCATCTTGGCTGTTTTGAGAAAAGAGTGAATGAATCAGAATGATAGGTCAGTACAGCTGCAGAGTGCGAGGAGACAAGAAGAAGCCAAGACGCTAGGTTACATCCATCTTATAGTAGAGCTGGCTGCACTCTTCATACTTAGTAGGGAGTTATCAGGGACTCAAACCTGGTCGTTTGGACGATTACTTTTCGCGGGCAATACTCGCCGAATTCAAATGAAGGGGGTTGCGACTGGGTTACAGCGGGTTTTCGTTGCGAGTATACGATGTTCGTTTACTTGGGTTAGCCGTGTTGACAATTCATGATTGGCTAGGCGGGAAATCGGCACAACTCTCAGCGGCTGTTTCGAGAGACCTCATTAATACCTGAGCACGTTCAGACTGAGAGCCGCGGTAAGTCAGCGTGGGTATCTGTCTATTTGCGACTCGGGTGATCGAAAGCTCTGATTGCGACTAATCTGGGTTGCCGGTGGGATTGAGCTGCTAAGTTGACTTTGATGTCAAGATCATCGCGAGGCACTGCAGCCCTGAACCTTCAAATTCTGCCCAATTACGCTTGAACCTGGATGACGATTTGTCAACAAATGTCAAGCTGGAATTCTCGCCCTATTGAAATTTTTTCCGATTTCATACTTTACTTATTTAATAGTATCCTCTTTTCGAGGTTGAGTCACTTGGCTCTCGTCTTGCTGGCAAGTCTTTGTGTATCATACAAGCAAGCCTTCAACTGCAATTTCGATTGTCGCTAAGAGTAACCGGTTCAGGTAACCGTTTCCTTCTCCCCTGCCCCGCCAATCGACATTTGGCACAACCAACACCAGGGCACGTCACGATTGGCTAAAGGAAAGTCGAACAATGATCATACAGTGTACCGTTTTTTGGCGGTACTGAGACACGATGGTAGTGTCCGGAGTGATGAGGTCGCAGATATACAATTATCGTTTTGTTGGTGGCCTAGTGCAATTGGCTTAGAAGCTTAGATTCTGGAAAGCAACACCACCGAATAAACTATTACATGCTGAGGAGCTAGCCGCTTCACAAATCCAACTTTCCTATCACTGCGTTCTCATCAATGCTTCAGAGAAAAGTTGCCGGGAGCATTTGAAGGAACTGCGGGGGGAAGGATAGTGACGATTTGCTCACTAGGATAGCTCATGACTGCTGTGTCTTATGTGTCTACCAACACCCGTCTTTTGTTCTAGGGCTTTACAAGATGTCAATAGCATTTTCGACCGATCGCTAGCAGCCCCCGCGGTTGATAGATATTCACAGTTGTTTGTCCTTCTGCCTTGGCCTTGATACAGTTAACCTGAACCGACTTCCATGGCAAGAAGGAGGACGTGTTTGAAGAGCACATGTCGTAGTTCAAATGGTCAACTTTTGAGCAATTTGCTGCTTGGTAATGGCATTTTCCTGAGCAGGTCGTGGTCAAGAATCCAATGGGATTGACTGGGAGGTTTGCGAACTGGCTTTGCTTGACATGAACGACATGAGATATAGTTTATCGCCGTATTTTACTTCCTCTGGTCAGGCTTCAGATACCCATCTTCTTGTATTGCTCGGACTCTGGCTTCTTCGGGTTCTATAGTACTCGAGTATGGTCCTCAGGATACATGTAGGTAACATGATTAGTTGATTGCATCCTGTTGAAGTCAGGAGTGAGATGCGAAGCTTCTCTTAGCATAGCCCTTGCCTGACCAGCTCGGCTCTCCAATCAAATTTTTACGGAGTTCTAATTGCTGTCAGTTTTGAGCTTGTTGACCTTGGCTTTACGTGGATACATACTGGAATTGTCATCCTCGCCGTCGCTGGACAGCAGCCCCTGGGAAGCGATCCTGACGGATATTCGGCACGTTTATGGGGACCCCCGAATAAGCTTAAAACCTAGGTTGCACACTCACATAGCCTTAAACCGACCCGTCTCCTCGGGATGGCTCAATAGGAGCAAGAGCACTACTCTGTCATCGAGTGAATCAATATCTGATATGTGGTACAATGCGTCCACCGATATGAGTGAGAAAACGAACCACCTGCCCCGAATCAATTTGGAACCAACAACGAAAGTGACTTTTCCAGCATTCTGCAATCACCCCGCCATTTCCAATACTAGCCACAGATAGACTTCGTCCCTCAGGCGGCACCCTTGCAGCACCCACTCAACATCAGACGGCGCGCGCCACATGGCGAGGCGAACCGAGAGCGGACTTCTACGATGCAGGGTCCAACTTTCCTGACAGCTGAGGCTGATGTTCAATGCAGGTCCCATTAAGGGAGCACGGGAGTAGCTGAGGCTTGGGCGTCTCTCTCGAGCATTAAAGTTCTTGCAAGTCACGCCCGTCAGCTTTTTGATGGCGTCGTCCTATCGATGAGGCCATAGATCACAAGGTAGGAACACTTGAAAGTGGTTGAAGTAAGAAAAGTAATTCGTGGCAGTGGTAGTTAGTCAAGTTCCCCTCCTGCAGTGTTTGCCCAGAACGCCATGCCATGCGATCCAGATATGTAATCCGTACAACAAATCAAACAACCCATTACTTTAGGTATCTCATGCCGTCTTCGGGCTCTCTCACTTTCCTCCATCTTCTCAATCACCCAGACTCATCCATCCCCATGTTCCCAGACCGCCAGCAAGGACGATGAACGTCAGGATACCCGCGCCAGCCTTATCCGCCGTCGTGATGGGTTCCGGCTCAATGTTATCCTTACTCTTACTTCCAGCATCAGGATCACCCGCCGAGATACCACCCGTCATATTCGTCACAGGTGGCGAGGCATCCTCGATGAGCAGACTCGACACAGCAGCCAAGACATTCATGACCTCACCGGCACCAGAGGTCTTGTCGACGGCGGGGTCGACATACACTTGCTCGTTCCAGTAGAAGCCGCAGGTGCGGCCCTCGGCGCCGCCCGTGCACTGGTTGACGGCGTGCTGCGTTGACTCTTTGAGGACGGGCATGATCTTGTCCTTCATGAAGGGGGCGACCTGCGTGACGACGGACATCCAGCGGTGGACGTAGCCCTTGAAGGACAACATGTCGGCAGTGCACTGGCCCTTGCGACCCTCGCAGGCGAGCTCGTAGGCGGTGTTGTTGGGGAAGAAGTTGAGGAAGAGGGAGTCTGTCATCTTTTCGATGCGGCCTTTCCAGACGTCGGAACCGTTGGTCTAGATGATGGGTCAGTATGAGGGTCCATGGCCAGGGTTCGAAGATGCCCCAGAAGACGGTGAAACCTACGTAGTTGTACATGAATGCGGCGCCCTGCGTGAGAATGGCCGCGTTGTAGGAGAATTGCTGCTTGTTGACGTCGGTGCAGTTGTGCTCGACGTGGCCGCCGTCGTAAACGTTCCAGGACTCGTGATCAATGTAGTTGACGGCCCAGAGCCAGTCCCAGGTCTTCTCGGCATGCCGCGCGTACGTGTCGTTGTTGGTGTATCTGGCGAGGCGGGCGCCAATGTTGAAGAAGCATCCGTTTGCGATGGCTGTGACGTGTGTTAGCTACCTCTATGTCCCGGAGCCTCCAATAATCTCTAACTTCGCTCGGACGGGAATTCGCATACTGTTCTTGTAGTTGTATCCAGCATTGGAAAAAGGCACCTGCCATCTCAAACCTCCACCGCAGGTATCGTCGTGACGGTCGGGACTCGCCTGCGTCGTCCACACGGCCTGCGCTAATGCGAGCCACTGGGGCTTCTCTTCCGGCGGGTTCGGGAACTTGTTCTCTGCGGCCAACATGGCGGACATACCCCAGAAGCCCTGATCGTCGTTACCCAGCGATGCGGTGTGGTTCGGCGGCATGTAGTCGGCGTTGGGGCCGGTCTGGTGCAGCATACCCTCCATGACGAGGTCGTTGTAGGCCGAGTCGCCCGTCAGCTTCCAGTAGTCGATGTAAGTGCCCATCATGGCACCTCCCTCCCACCAGTAGTAGTCGCCCTTGTGCTCGGTTGGCGGACCGGGTAGAATACCAGGGATCTCGCCAGTCTGGTTACCCTTGTACTGCTTGATGAGGTCGTATGCGAGCATTTTTGCTGACTTTTTGATGTTGTCTGGACCATGGGGAAAAAATTAGTGTCAGTTCTGGGAACGTTGTAGGATGATTGAGCTGCATCTCATGCGTGCTGGAGCGCGACGATGATCATGTGGTTGAGAGGTGCTCCGCTTGCTTACCAGTTGTGTCGATGGTGTACTGCGCGTTGACGGCGGGGAGGCTGCCGACGAGCAAGAGTGCCGCCGAAGCGGCTGAAGCGAGTGAAGTGACCATGGCGAAGAGCCGGTCTACGAACGAAGATGAAGAGCGCTGCTGAGTGAGGAATCAAGGTAGATGAGGTGTAATTCAAAATCCCTCAGAATCGGGTGAAAGCGGCGGTTAAATCGATTTGTCGGTCGGGGCGGTTCGGGGTGAGAACGAGTGAGTTGGAATGAAACCGGATCAATCGATTGTGACGAGGAATGAAAGCCGTGGCGATGATTGAAAAAGTAAAAAAGTTTCGTCTATGAGAAGTGATTGTTCATGGCCGGGCGGCGCTCAAAGTGAGAAGCAGTAAAAGAAGGCGTGGCTGCGTTGTGTTGCCGTCAAGGTGTCGGTCGATCGATCGGTCGGAAATTCGTGTTCGTCGTCGGAAGCGAGTGTTGATTTTATTTACTACGATTGATTTCCCGGAGTGGGCTTTCGTAACGGTATGAGAAAAGAACAAGCTCTGTGGTGAGAAATGAAGCGAAGGTCGAAGTGTGATGTGAGCTGTGTGTGTGTGTTTATTCGGGTGCAGTGGAGGAATAAACGATGGCCGGGTGTGAGTTGGGGATGGTGGCAGGTAAGGTAACCAACACAGCTTTGTCTTCACGCAGCTCAGGATCAGGATGCGGAAGGAAAAGGGGGGAAACAGGCTTTCAAGACCAATTTTTTCCTTTTCTCGGCAGCTCTGGGCTTTTTGGCAACACAGAAATGGGAATCAACAGACACACGGAAGACACACCACAGGAGGGCACAGGATGACGCGGTAGAAATCAGTCTTGGTGGCCGCCAAAGTCTTGGTATTCTTGGTAAAGTCTTGGCCTTCTGGGCATCGGGGCTGTGCAGCAAATGAGAAAACGCTGCCGAGCAGCACTCGAGCACCCTTCACAAGGTTCGACAGGAGCAAGGGCCCCCCTTTGGACCAAATAGACCAGATGGATTTCATGGGATGCCGCCAGTCTCGGGACTATCCATTCTATCCAAGGCTCACAGGGCGGGTGTGCCATCATCCATGGGCGGTTACGGTCCCACGGTCCATGGTTTGCCTCTTCCGCCATCTGCAAGGGTAGCGGGCAGCACGAAGGATCGCCTCACGCAGCAGAGACCCAGGAAGACAGGCCGTTGAATGCAAACTCGGAACACATCCACCGACTGAACCCCTATGGAGAGAACCATACTGCGTACTCCGAAGAGATGGATGGGCTGGGGAAAATGGGGTATGTATGACATGGTTGACCGCTTGATGTCAATGGACAATCGTCACTGGCGGCTGGGAGCAAACGAATAGGGACGAACTGCGATTGACCAGACACATTTTGGGTTCGAGGACAACCCAAGAAGACGAGTCCCAGCGAGAAAGCACGCCAAAAAGCCTCTCTCAAACAGGACCAGCCATCCCTACCCGACAACGAACATTGCCAAGACTCATTCCTCGCCAAATACGCGGGGACTCGGGAGTCTTCTTACTGCCCGTCATCCAATCTGTACAGGCTACGAGGGGGATTAGGAGGGATTGTCACGACTCACGGGCGTCTTGCGCTCCGAAGGGTTAGGCAAGGGGATCTCACAGAGAGCCTTCAATGTGGATGTGCCCGATGCCTCGAATGCACAAAACGGGAACAGAGGCACGATGGGTTCAGGGGTCGCCCAGAGCTAAGGCTCAGCAGCGTCTTGGCGATGGCGATGGCGTCTCAGGGCCGGCGAGGGAGATTGATGTTGAGTGCGACTAAGAGGCTGAGGCCCGGTGGTGCTCTGTGAAGCGTCGGACAGAGTGCTTGAGTGGCCGCTGATCGTTGACTCGCGGTTTTGGGATGAGAAGCGATCGGCCGTCCGACACATGGGAAGAGCCGTTGGAGGGATGGTCCAGGCCAGGTACGCGAACTTTAAGGAAAGGGTTATTCGGATACAATGAAGGGCAACAAAGGTGGCAGCAGAATAGAAAGGGATTGAGTGCCGGAGAATGCCAAGCAAACAAACGGAATCGAAAGCAGAACCAAGGCCAGAAGCAGGTAGAGATGCAACTTGTATGTCGGTAAAAACTCAGAGGCGAGAGTTCGTGTCTGCGTCTCATCTCAATAGGCAAGACGAAAGTTAGTCATCTGCACCACCTCGGATGGCATGTCAGCTCAGGTCACTTTGGGCTGTCAGCTCTGCTCAGCTCACTCGCCTTGTGCGCAAGGCAAGCTGTCAGACCGCAGCGGACCGGGTTGAATACGATTTATGAGGCCGTGATACGAGTTACAGGTCCAGACACGCGGGAGGGAAGATAGAATGCGAGCGAGAGGATAATAAATCAAAATACAGGGCATCCCGCATCCCTCTCTTCAAAGTTCAAGCTTGGCCTTGACTGCATAACCAGCATGCTTGGGCATTGTGTTATTTATGTACGCCAAGGACCGATCGGTTCGGCCAAGGCAGATCACACGACGGTAGAGAGCCGGACGCCGCGGGGGGGGGATATGAGCGAGTGCCACCGGTTGCCGTGTGAGCTGTCGGGCTGCCAACACAACGCGTGTGTTTGGGCGATGACAAGTCAAACTGGCGATCATGTTTTCCCAGACATTGGCTGGCTTGGTGTCTTGGGAAGTTTTGTCATAAAGCTTTGTCAGAAGTGCGCGAAACTGAGAGTGAGAGTGAAAGTGAGGGTGAGTGAGATGTTGAAATGAGTGGGGTGCACCTGCCTGTGGCCACTGAAGTGAGCTGAGGAAAGAGCAGAGGGCCAGCGGGCAATGGAACTTGGGAAAGCACCGATGGGAGGGATAAGGTAGGCAACTGGAGAAGGAAAGAACACCTGGAGACTGGAGTGCTGTGCTGGAGAAGGAAGGAACCTGCGGCCTGCCCATGCACTCCATGGAAGGAAGGTCTCGACCGCAATTAACCTTAGTCCCCATCCGCACTGTGTGTGTCTCCACCAGTCCCACCAACCCTTCTAGCGAAGCCAGTCACTACGCAGTGCCAAGGCCACCGGGAATTTGGATGGAACTCTCAATTTCCTGCCTCAAATAGGGGGCACCTGCACAGTGACTGCCTGACAGTGCAGCACACGGCCAATGTGGATACCTTATCTGTGCAGATCCTTACGGAGTATCCAATCACGTGCAGCTCCGAACACTGACAGCTTTGAGCCGCCAAGACCCCATTAAATTAGCACCACGGCCCACCAACCTCAGGTTTTCCCCTGGGCCCTGCCTGACAGTGACACCGAACAACGGGAACCTGAAAAGGAACGTCCCAACTGCACCCGAAATGCCCGGGCGGCGCGTAATCAGTACGTACCTTGCACGACGTCTTTCCATCTTCAGAACCTCGTCGCATTTACGGAGTAACAAGGCGCAGTATGTGTTTGTACGAGTATCCATATGAATACGATCAAATATGGAAGTCGATAGGCCCAGGGCTTCTTTGTTTTGTTTCCTCTCTCCAGGCACTTCAAGGTTGAAGCATCGCCTGCGGTTCAAGAACCATCCCTGCGCCATCCTTGTCCAGCTGGCGAAGGAATCCCCCGAGATCAACACTCCCGCGATCCTTACAGACGAGCCTCATCGCGGGACCATGGCACGCAAGCCAAGATCGACTCGTGCTGCTCTCGTGTCCCAAACTTCCAACATCCTCATCAGACTCCTGCCTTCAGGAATGCGGCAGCCGGCTCCATGCCTCCACCTCCGGATCGGACGGCCGCCATATGTAAATGCCGAGACCTGGACATGCCGTGGCCCCGAGCCTCGGATTCTGGTCTCAGCACATGGGGTTTGGGCCGTTTCGGCTGATATAGTATAATTCTGAGCCAGCGCGTGTGGGATCTTTCGACCGCTAAGTCTCTATCCTTGCCATCGATCTTTCTACCCCTGCCTAGGTAATACCTAACTTCAGTATGTATATCCTCGTGTGTGGCCAACTAATTGTGACTCAAGACGATGAATCTCAGCACGCTGTTTCTATCCTGCTTACGATTAACTAATCCAGACTGGTAATGTTGCAAATTATCTACAAGGCAGATCAGCCGCTCATCTAGAGGCTTACGTGAGATGCCGATCGTCTCCTATCAACGACGCTCGCCGGCTATTGCAGAAGGCAGAAACACGCGTGTTGGCTGACCTGCACTAGGCAACTTACGCATGAAGGCCCGATAAAGAGATATCGGTCAGCGAGCTGATGCCCCCAATATTGGATGTCTTGCTATCACAACCACTGCATTATGTATTGTCATATAAATACTCTTGGCTGTCGAAAACAAGCGTAGCCTGGTGACAGTTTACACCAAATATTTCCGAACATGATGGTTCCCCCAAACTGGGTACTCTTCGTCGCGGGCCTGGTTGCCTATCAGCTCGTGAACCGATGTGCGCATCAGATAGTCAAACGAATCAACCCTGACTTCTACATGACGTTGAAAGCGGATAAGCATCGCAAGCTGGCTCCTTATTTTGTCTTCCCACTAGGCTTCCTCTTCACGTTGCTCACAACACCGATCTGCACCGCGGCATACAATGATACGTCCTCCGTCACCGACCTCTTTGGCCTCGACCGCCCCTTCACCACCAACGGCAAGATTTGCCTAGCCTCCCGAGCCAATCTCTGGACCTCTGAGCTGCCACTCCTCAGCTATTCTCCAGAATACATCGCCCACCACGTCCTCTCCCTCTCATCACTCGGTCTCTTCCTCATCGGCAAAGGCCCAAGGCGACCTCTCTATCTGATCTACGCTGGTTTAGTGACGGAGCTCTTGTCCGACAGCGCCGTGTTAATGCGATTCCACGGCCGGACGCCGTCAAGCTCGCCGATACTGCGAAAGATCCTGCTCGCGAATGTGGCTTCAATGGTATTGCTCAGACTTCTCCCAATCATCGCACACAGCGCGGCAATGCTGGAAACAAGAGCAGACTATCTCGGCGGGATCGCATCTTATTGCATTCACATATGCCGGCTAAGCTTTGTCCAGCTGGGGGCCCTGGGATACATCAACGCCAAGGCAGGCAGAAAACTCAGCCTAGCTCCCAGGGATGCCGCGGCCGACCAATTCGAGAAGCCAAAAAGTTCGGTCGCAAGCTTCATACGACGTCCGATGGCCTTGGTTGTCGGTGCCGCAGTCCTTGTTACGGCACTGACTCTCAAAGAGCTGGACTTCGTCAAATCCTCGCCGTGGGCTACAATCGTGTCATGGCGGTGAAATTTCGTCCAGTACGTGCACTCTCGATCGGCTCGGATTGTCAAAATCGAGATTCGAAAGGTTACATAGAGTTGGGAGCGAGCTTGACCGAATGTGGTATCTTGGAGTCTGTATATGCATGCCCTTATCCAGTGGCTGACAGTATGTAGAGAAGAGAATATGTTACATAAAATGATACACGAGGCACGCGCTAGGACTCGCCGCTTATGCGACAGTGGCGCCCGTCAAAGTGAAGGAGTAGTCCAGGCCCTTGTTGGCATCGCTGCTAGCGAGCTGGAAGCCGTTGTACAGGATCAGAGTCTTGGGGGTGTTGGCAATAACCAAGCCTGGCCTCTTCGCCGCTGGCGACCTCAGCGGAGCCGGCACCGTTGGCGAGCTGGACGTAGCGGACCGAGCTGGAGCCCTTGATGGCAAGGTGGGCGGTGAACTCGCCGGCCGAGGTGATCTTGACGTCACCCTTGCCGCCGGAGGTCGTCAGGGGCATGATGTTGGCGCCCATGTAGCGGGGAGCGCGAGCAGACTTGGCCTTGTAGCCGTCGCCGGACTTGTCAACGTTGGCAAAGTTGACGCTGTCCTTGGCCTGGTTGAAGATCTCCTGGGCCTGGTCGTAGCCGATATCGACGTACGCCATGTGAGCCCAGTACTTGCCGACGATCTCGCCGGCGGTGGTGTTGCTGGCAACGCGGTCGAGGGTGTGAAGAGGCGTCTCGTTGCTGTTCGCCTCATACTGGAGCATCAACTGGTGGAGAGTGTCCTTGCCGAGACCGGCGATGTTGTCCGGGTTGTTGGTGAGGTAGGTCAGGAACGGCCAGGCCTGGTAGTAGTTACCAGAGTCGACGGTGCCGTCAACAATGACCTGGAAGGAGTCACCAAGGACCTTGTTCACCTCGAACTCGGTGCGGCCCTCGGGGGACTTGTGCTTGGTGCGGGCGTCGGCGCAGAGGGGGGAGGTGTTGTAGGTGTCGGCGACCCAGTTGGCGACCGTCTCCCACCAGGCGCCGGTGCGCTCCTGGTCCACCCAGGTGCGCTGGTGGTAGTGCAGAGCGTGGCCGTACTCGTGGACGGTGACGCCTGGGCTGGCGAGGTAGGTGTCGACGACCTCGAGCCAGCCGGCGCCGGACTCCTGCTCCGAGTGCATCACGCCGGCGGCGCCTTCGAGTTTGGAGACGGAGTAGACGTTGGTCTTGTAGTAGGGGCCGTTGTTGGAGCCCTCGTTGAAGGAGAGTCCAGAGGACCGCCAGCCGAGGGTGTTGACGAAGCCCTCGTAGGCGCCCTCGGGCTGGCGCCGGCGTAGACACGGAAGTGGGCCGAGTCCTTGAAGTCGCTGCCTCCGGGGCCGGCCTTGGTCTGGGCCTCGAACTCGGCGGGCTCAGCACGCGCGACTACCTTAGAGGCGCCTACCTGAGGAGCCGCATTGATGCCGGTGGTAAGGGCGAGGAAGATTGTGAAGAGAAGTTGGTTTGACCTGGCCATCTTGGGCAACCTGTTGTATGTGTACGTTGAATAAAAGAGTGAAAGAACTTGATCGGAGAGCTCCTCTTCCTCGTTCCAAGAGCTCGAGGGATGCCATCTTTTGTAAGTAGAGGCGCCAACTTCGCCAACTTCGCCAAGACTCTCTGGTAAGGATTGTTTCTGTTGGTTCACGGGGTCGTATACGACAAATAGTGGTAGCAATTATCACTCGTCTGTTGGTGATCCTATTGCTTGTTCTTCTTGTTGTTGTTCTATCTTACATTGTAGGCAGGAGTCGGTCGAAGTAGGTAGTGACGGCCTGGGTGGTTGCCCCACCTTTATCCGGCCGTGATGACTAAGCCAGTTGTCCCACTTCGCCCAGGGCAGGTGCCAGCCAGCCCATGGTACCTGCCTATTACTCCTTATCAGCCTTTGCTGTTCCAACAGTTTCCTCTTCGAGCCAAGACGTATGATGCAAAGCTGGCAAACACACACACAGTGACCAAGTGATCTACGGATACAGCCCGCCTGGCCAGAGCCCACAGGGCGGAATCCTGTATTCTCCGTTCGCAGTTGGTGTTGGAAGGCGGATCGCGCTGGCCCATGTTAGTTGAGACTGGGCCCGTTCATGGGGGTTCGATTCAGTGTTTGTTTGTTTGTTTGTTATATTTAACGCCGTGGCGGCAAGGGCGCAGCCGCCCTTGCGGCCGACCTCCCGAAGGGTATATGGCGTGGAGAGCCGTCGCCCTATAACTATTGCTAGATACAGTTCAAATCGTCCTCCAAATCGTGCCTTATGGCTACTATGCGTTCTATCTGTCCCTGGTTCCCGCTGGTGCCCCAGTTCCATTCTTGAATTTTTGCGGCTTAAGGCCGGATATGTCTGGAGAGGGCGGCCTGCCGAAACAGGCCCCTCGTACATGTTCTGATTTGTACAAGACCATTCCTGCCCCAGTACTTGGTTGACGACGTGTACTCGCCGCATATCCACTTTTTCTTGGTCGGAGGGTGTGGATATGAGAAAACCCTGGCGAGGGCCCGGAAAGGGTCCTAGGCCCCGCATTGGGCTCTGCCCTACCCTTCCCACAGGTAGTTAAAGCAGTTGCCGGCGGCTGGAATCGAACCAGCGACCTCTGGGCTCCAGAGGCCTTGCCAGGTGTATGCCACTACACCACGCCGGATTCGATTCAGTGTTGTTTAGAAAGTGCTGGCAATTTGCGATGAAACGGCGGGCAGAATACACCAATCAACGCTGTTGCGTATTGGCCCCTCGCTGGCCTTATTCGTGTTGTTCCCTGCATCGATCACCTCAAAAAGAATACCCCAGTCTTACCCCTAGACCCGGGAGGCACAAGTTTAGTAGGAATCTCATGATTGATGGATTTGAAGCTCGCGAGATGATCATACATTTCTGTCTAGTCGAGCGTCTTGCTGCTGTAGAGCGCTGGTGTGCTGTGCAGCAGAGTAGTATCTCATTTTCCAAGGGAAGACAAAGATCAAAAGGTGTTTCAAAGAGGGAGTCGATATGTCAACGACGGCGATATTGAATTTCTCCGCCAAATCCCACACCTCGAAATGACGATGATCTCGTTCTCTCCGAATGTCAAGGTGCCCCCTCCCAACAGCGTCTGGATACTATGGAGTACAAGTACCAAAGACGATGGCCTCATCCCACTCAACCATAGTGCCCGTACTCCGTAACGTGCCACTCGCTAAACGCTGACAGAAAATGCGTTAGTCAAAAGATCCCACATGGACCCCATTATTCTCTGACACGCTTCCCTGCGCCCTTCCATCATGATTGGCGGCAATATATCCGCAAATGATTTAAAGTGATTTAAAGTACTCGGAAACTTCCCCTGAGCCTTTATGGTTAAGGTAGTTTACACAATACTCCCGAGTTCTTGGGTAATGGTATCCGTAACACAGGCGACTATTTTTCCGCACCTTCGCTATCGCATTGCAATACGACGGACCGTTTGTGGCACGGCGCCACTCAGCGCCCCTGAGCACCGCTGTGACTTTGATCTGCCTTTTAAGCCCATATCCCTAGTAGTTTCTATCAGCAGCAACTCGATATCAATCGAGAGCATGAGAGAGCCTTCGCAGTAAACAACAAACTGACTTTTGACACGGGAGCGAGATTGGGAGCATGGAGTTATTCTAGTCGATACCTGACATGCGCAGGTCCAAGAGCCAAAGGACAACTGGACCTAGAATGGCAACTGATCGCGAACACTCTAAGTAGTGATGGCAACTTAAACTCTATCGAGTCATGTCAGCTAGCAAAGCCGCTCAAATGTCGGCTAGATTTGCTACGGGTTGTGGGAGAGGATCTTCACCAAAGGAACTTTGTTAAAGTGTTCTTTTTTTCTCGGTTTCTTTCCATTCGACTGGAAATCTAGAATGGCGAGAATTGTTGTGGTTCTTCACGAGATCTCATATCGATTCACGTAAGAAAAATATTGGACTAAGTCAGTATGCTTGTTTGCTAATTGCGATTGTTGATGTTTAGTGATTGCCAAGTCGGAAATAACGGTGCAACGTAACTTGATTGACCCCAATCCTCGGTCCTTACGTCTATTGTGCCAAGTCCTGTTTGTAAATGACAAGAGATTGGTAAGGCGGTAACTTTCGCTTTCAGTATTACCTTGCGTAGTTACGGTGATGAAGCCAAGTGCTTGCAGCTTCACTGAAATTTGGAACTCCTCACAACTACTTAGGTCAAGGATCTAATTTTGACCACAAACAACAATTCTAGGGGCTCATCAAGCACGGAGCTTTGGTAGTATTTCATTTTTTCCTAGTATCCTTACCTTAGTATCTTGGTCGTGGCGCACTCCAAAGCCGCCAACGTGAAGTTCATGTCCACTAGAAATAGCGCTGATACATTCAGAATCTGTCGGAACATTCACTTGTACCTCGCCATTAAATCTAAATGATTATTGATACATCTTTGAGCCTTGAGGTCCATAAGTGATTGTAGCCTACTGGCGCCTGTTCAGACTTGACTTCTGGTTCCCAGGATGCACGAGTTAGTGGAACGGCAGAACTTGTTCTCTGCCTCACTCTTAACACATCGCCACGAAATACAGCTTGATTCTTCGGCATCCCACAGGATCTTGTGTCGCGATTATTCTCGCTGCTGCTCCGTTCACGCAGGCGTTGTGGAAATCTCATAAACCAAGTGGATCTAGAATTTGGATAGAGCTCTTCAGCCCAGACCCAAGTTCTCCCTATATTTGAGTCTGTGAGATGGAGGCAGGAGCCAGCGGAATACTGTTGGTGCCAGATGGCAAGGGCACAGTGTAACATACATGTAATCTCATTCGGCTCTATTCCCAGCCTCAAGTGGCCAGCCTTTCATTATCGCCAACATGACACAACGCTAAGCAGAAGCTGGGCTTATGTAGGCGCCACACAGCACGGCCCCGACGATCAGAAACACCACAGCATCATCACCAACGACAGCGGCAGAAACCAGGTCAACATTTTGGACAAGTTTGCAATAACCTGAGAGACCCAACATCTTCCAGGCAAGTAAGGACTCGGAACTAAATGCTTCAATTTGCTTCGGAACTAGGCGAGGTAGTTCATGATCTAATTAGAACAATATCTATGGATTCGTGAGCGTGAAGGCGACATCCCCCGTGCTTGCGCCTCCTTTGCAGGTTGACTTGAAACTACCACTAGGGCAAGTGGCCCTCGCAGCTCGAATGCACCCTTCCCAGCGGCCTTTAGAGACGTTGATGGTGGCTCCAGAAGCAGTTGGGTTCAAGGTAAATTTGGCGGTTCCCGATACCCCCGTGGTGCTCTTTGGTGCGCCGCCGCACTTCTGGATGGACCCTGCTATGCCACCGCAGATAGCTAGTGTAGCAACGTTCATGTCGTGGGTATCAATCTTGCTAAAGGAACTCTTTAGCTTCAGAACTTTAAGTGCATCTCAGTGTACAGCATGTGGTGGATGCTGACTTACGCGGCCTTGTCTGTGCATGTGGTGCCAGTGACGGCTGCTGGATTGACATCCTTCGACGCACGGATTTCCAGGGTGTTGTCATTCGCCTGCGGAAGTATGGGGCTTGGTACGGCGGCAGAAAGACCGGAGAAAAGCAAGAAAACCGAGGCGACGTTGGCGATTAACATTTTGGCGTTGGTGGAGCGGTGTAATACAGTTTGGTGCAAATGTCTCTTCCGCTTTCAGCACAAACAATCAGTCTTTGATATATGGAAGCGACATTTCGTTACGGTAAAATACTTTAAACGGGTTAAAAAGTCCAATTTTGGCCGCAAAAGCAGCTGTAGTAATCCAACATTAGCTGTGATTATGTTTTGATTTAGGTATCGGGAAGTAGCCTAAGTACCTTGCCAAGATCCATGTCTGATGCTCCACAGCGACAGTGTAAGTCGCTTCACGCGCTACTTGAGCTGGGTTATCGAAGTACCTATTCATACACGTGATCTAGCTTAGTCATTCTCTGGTCAAAGTCTCCACTGCCACGTGCGCCAGCTCGCGCTAGATATGGCACGGAGCGGAGGAACATTACTCCGAAGCCTCAGTGCGTTTCCGTCGATCCCGCCCCGCCCTTATCAAAATGGCTAAGTCTCTGAAATCTCAAGCTACAAAGTCTAATATCACGACGTCTTGCATCACCTCTGCGAGCTGTTTCCTAGCTTCCCTTTAACGCTAGGATTTTGAGTTATTGAAAAGGGTCGAACTCTGTAGAGAGTAAAGTCGTATAGCCGCAGCCATGGGTTGTTACGTATCCATGTCAGCCTATGGGCTGTGCCATTGCACCAAGAGGCGCCAGCCTGCATGACCACAGCCTGGTCGACCCCTCATCGTGAACAAGCACTCCTGATCTTACTGGAAACAAAGTCAATACTCCCCTGATCAGGTTTTTTTGCTATTGATCCCAATAAGTCTACGGTCCGTCATGAGCCCTTCAAAACCCCTCCAGCGTTTGAAGGGCTTCTTCCGCCATGGGAGCAGCAAAACGGGTGAGCCTACCGCCCGTAACGACCAATCCCCCTCGACGCCAGCATCGTTCGAAGAAGCCAGCGCCTCGGTAGCTGCCGTGTCCCAAAGCTCGTTCTCTCGACCTCTTCAAACTACAGAAACACTAGCTTTCGTGACGCCTGGTCGAGCCCCAAGTCCAACAGCGCGTCCCATCACATCGCTCCCACAAACAATACCCCGACCATCAGAAGACGTGCCTTCGCTATGGAGTCGTGCTTACGAGGCTCTGCGGGAAGAAGATGCACAGTTGGTGGAGCAATACGAGATACTTCTGTCTCAAGAGTTAGAGGAGCCAGGTATGCCTCCCGGATACACTACTGCGACGTTACACATATATCCTAACTCTTATCCAGAGCCTAGCGCACCCGAAATGCAAGGACTACTTCGTCAGTACGATGGCGAATACCGACACGACAACCGAATCGACACTGATCCTGACAAGCGTTGTGCTCAACTCAAGACCATCACCGACCGTGGCCTACGACGCGCCGACGACAAGCGAACGAAGTATACCATATTCGGGCACGAGTTTGTTTTGAGGGATCAGGTTCAAAAGACTGCTGAATTTGTGCTGACTATGAAGGGCCTTGTTGATGAGGCTGTCAAGGTGTCTCCTGAGGCATCCCTTGCCTGGGCTGGTGTGTGTGTCTTGCTACCAGTCTTCACCAATCCAATTGCGGCAGAGGACTCCAACCGCAATGGCTTAATATATGTTACCTGTCGCCTACGATACTATGTTGAACTTGAAAGTCTTCTGTGGCCGGAAAACATAGTTAAACCGAAGCTCAAGGCGGAATTCGACGGCCATATCGTCGAACTCTACCGATTCGTTCTTGAGTTCCAGATCAAAACCGTTCTCCGATTCTACAGAGAGTGGATTAAATCGCTGGTTCGGGACGTGATTCAGCACGACGAATGGGAAGGAATGCTGTGCAAGATCGAGCAACAGGAGCACGCTGTTGGGGAGGAATCAAACCGTCTACACTTGATTGCCTCGGGGAAGACACTGAAAGCCATCAGCGAGGCAGCGCAACAACACTACAACGATATGCAGTCGCTGCTTTCGATCGCGAACGATCATCTCAATGTCTCGAGGGAACACCGCGATGTATCGAAAGAGCAACTTGAGCTCCTGATGTTTGTCACGCTATCCTCGAATGCAAACCTTCACTGATGTACAGTAGTAAAGAATCCGAGAGTCGCCCCCTAGACCTTGCTGTCGTCAATGAAGCGCGCTACGACAGTGGGGACTTCCAAGACGGCCCGAGATGTGAGAGCGGGACTCGAGTACGCATCCAGGAGACGATTTACAATTGGGCGGACGATGACTCTGGCGAACCATTGCTCTGGCTTGTGGGTCCAGCAGGAACCGGGAAGTCCACTATTGCGCGGACAATCACAGACTCTTGGGCCAAGCAGAAACGACTTGTTGCTGGTTACTTCTTCAAAAGGGGAGAAAAGGGCCGCAATGACACTACCCGGCTATTTTCCACCCTTGCCGCGCAGCTGTCTGAGGGCATCCCTGCCTTTAGAGGCTGCCTTCGGAAGTCTCTCAGCGGTCTCAACAGAGATGCAGTGGAAAGCAAGAGCCTCGAAAACCAGTTCAGCCAACTCCTGTGGCGCCCCTTGGCAGATCTATCCCTCGATACCAGCCGACTGACTAAGATTATCATCATTGACGCTTTGGACGAGTGCGAGCGCCCTGGTCACCTAGGGCTGGTTTTGAACCTACTTGCCAAACTAGGTACCGTCAGCACGGTGCGCCTGCGGGTATTGGTGACAAGCAGGTCTACCCTCCATATAGCGGATGCCTTTCGTGGCATTTGCCCTCGAAGTCTTGATCTAGAGACGGACTATCAAGTCGAAACACGGACTGATGTTGCTATCTTTCTCAAACAGAGATTTGCGAGTATCAAGGCTAAGTGGGAGATCCAGGAGACTTGGCCGGCTGAAGAACAACTCGGTCGTCTGATTCATCTATCAACAACGCCCTCACCACTATTCATTTATGCAGCAACTCTATGTCGCTTCATCGATGATCCAGATAAACGAGAAGATCCAGTCGACCAATTAGACCTCTGGTTTCATCCAAGCGACAGCGACACTCCCCAGCTCGATCAGATTTACCGGCCAATTCTCCACTACGTCTTATTCGGCAGCTACAACACCGATGAAAAACCAAAGCCGCTGGCTGAAGATCGCCGAACGGAATTATTTAATCTGTTGGGAGCTCTCGTACTGGTCGCCTCTCCTCTGCCCTCTAAAGCGATTGCGGCCTTGCTTGGCATCCCTATACGTCGAGTTACTCCGTGGCTCCATCACCTACGTTCTGTCCTCAGCGTCCCTCGCGACCATGATACTCCCGTAACGCTCCTGCATAAGTCTTTTAGTGACTTCCTGCTTAACCCTGAGGGCTCAAGTCATCGTGACTACGGGGTATTCGCTGCACCAACACACGCTACGCTAGCGGCAAAATGCATTCAGCGTATGAAAGAGGGACTCAGGCGAGATATCTGCAGTACTCAAAAGCCAGACGTACAACGAGATGAGATCGACAAGGAAGTGATGAATACACATATCCCTGCCGATCTCCGCTATGCCTGCCTTTACTGGGTGTACCACTTACAAAAAAGCGAAGGGTCTTTAGGAGATGAGGTTTACGTATTCCTCACCACGCACCTCCTCCATTGGTTAGAAGTCTTGGCACTTCTGGGTAAGATCTGGGACGGTGCTACCGCAATTCAGCAGCTTCTCAGCATGTGCCGGGTGAGTGAAGGTTTTCTTATCTTCAATTTAGGCTAACCCTTCTCAGCAGTGTCCTAATATAACTGCAGAACTGATGGAGTTCATCACAGATGCAAACAACGTCGTTGCTAATTTTGCATCTATGATTGACCGGACACCACTTCAAATTTATGTAGCGTTGATGCTATTCTGTCCAGTCGCAAGTAAAGTCCGGAAAAGATTTTGGAATCAATGCCTCCCGAATCTGCCTCATGTTCACGGCGTGAAATCTGATTGGGATGCGCTGCGGCAGACGCTCGAGGGCCACACGGAATCGGTCTTCGCGGTGGCCTTCTCGCCGGACGGCCAGGTGGTGGCGTCGGCGTCAGACGATGCGACGGTACGGCTTTGGGACGCGGCCACGGGGGCGCACCGCCAGACACTTGAGGGCCACAGCGGCTGGGTCAGGGCCGTGGCCTTCTCGCCGGACGGCCAGGTGGTGGCGTCGGCGTCGGGCGACAACACGGTACGGCTCTGGGACGCGGCCACGGGGGCGCACCGCCCGGGGGCGCACCGCCAGACACTTGAGGGCCACAGCGGCTGGGTCTGGGCCGTGGCCTTCTCGCCGGACGGCCAGGTGGTGGCGTCGGCGTCAGGCGATGCGACGGTACGGCTCTGGGACGCGGCCACGGGGGCGCACCGCCAGACACTTGAGGGCCACAGCGGCTGGGTCAGGGCCGTGGCCTTCTCGCCGGACGGCCAGGTGGTGGCGTCGGCGTCAGATGATGCGACGGTACGGCTCTGGGACGCGGCCACGGGGGCGCACCGCCAGACACTTGAGGGCCACAGCGGCTGGGTCAGGGCCGTGGCCTTCTCGCCGGACGGCCAGGTGGTGGCGTCGGCGTCAGGCGATGCGACGGTACGGCTCTGGGACGCGGCCACGGGGGCGCACCGCCCGGGGGCGCACCGCCAGACACTTGAGGGCCACAGCGGCTGGGTCAGGGCCGTGGCCTTCTCGCCGGACGGCCAGGTGGTGGCGTCGGCGTCAGACGATGCGACGGTACGGCTCTGGGACGCGGCCACGGGGGCGCACCGCCAGACACTTGAGGGCCACAGCGGCTGGGTCAGGGCCGTGGCCTTCTCGCCGGACGGCCAGGTGGTGGCGTCGGCGTCGGGCGACAACACGGTACGGCTCTGGGACGCGGCCACGGGGGCGCACCGCCCGGGGGCGCACCGCCAGACACTTGAGGGCCACAGCGGCTGGGTCTGGGCCGTGGCCTTCTCGCCGGACGGCCAGGTGGTGGCGTCGGCGTCAGACGATGCGACGGTACGGCTCTGGGACGCGGCCACGGGGGCGCACCGCCAGACACTTGAGGGCCACAGCGGCTGGGTCTGGGCCGTGGCCTTCTCGCCGGACGGCCAGGTGGTGGCGTCGGCGTCAGACGATGCGACGGTACGGCTCTGGGACGCGGCCACGGGGGCGCACCGCCAGACACTTGAGGGCCACAGCGGCTGGGTCAGGGCCGTGGCCTTCTCGCCGGACGGCCAGGTGGTGGCGTCGGCGTCAGACGATGCGACGGTACGGCTCTGGGACGCGGCCACGGGGGCGCACCGCCAGACACTTGAGGGCCACAGCCTGGGGGTCAGGGTCGTGGCCTTCTCGCCGGACGGCCAGGTGGTGGCGTCGGCGTCAGACGATGCGACGGTACGGCTTTGGGACGCGGCCACGGGGGCGCACCGCCAGACACTTGAGGGCCACAGCGACTGGGTCAGGGCCGTGGCCTTCTCGCCGGACGGCCAGGTGGTGGCGTCGGCGTCAGACGATGCGACGGTACGGCTTTGGGACGCGGCCACGGGGGCGCACCGCCAGACACTTGAAGGGCGGACTCAAAGTCTTTCCTTTGACCCGTTATCCAACACGCAACTATATACTGATTTCGGAGTATTAGACCTGCTCACAGACTTCGAGGAAAGTGGATTGCCTTCACCTAAGGAAATAGTGTTATTACCCGCTATCTACGGAATTGGCCTGAATTTGGACAAGACATGGATCATGAAAGGGAACGAGAGCGTTGTCTGGCTCCCAAGGGAGTACCGACCAGTTTCATCAGCTACAAGAGGCTCGGTAATGTTCATCGGCTGTTCATCGGGGCGTGTCATCCAGATTGTAGAATGATGTGATGATAGCATAAGTGTGCAATAATCATGAACAGCATGCATTCCCATAAGGGTCCAGTTTACTCCCTCATAGCGTGGCACATGAAGGGTCTGGGAAGACAAACCCTTTTATCTCTAATGTTTAGACTTGAGAGTCATCGTCGTCTTCCTGCTGGATTCTTTTATGTTATTTTGCGATCAGGTGCGGATCGAAATGACGCAACTGCCCAGATCTGTGGAATCCAACATAGGTTGCAGGTTCAGCCATGGAACGACGAAGACTCCACCAGCCCCACTATTGGCTTACAAGTCCCTAGCCCAAAGTTCTTGTGTATACAGTGTTAAAGAGAATGTGACTTCACACAGTGTGGGGTTTGTTTAGAAAATTGATGTGTTTTGTGGAGAGGAAGATGATTATGCTCCTGACTGTAGAGTTACTAGATAGAGTAAGAATAACTAGAGTTTTATCTACTTGGACCTGCCAAGACAAACTAGAGTAGGAAAATATGGTCGACGAAGCCTTTGAGAACAGAAAACAGGTAGGTTACTGAATCTAGATGCAACGTCAGAAGGCCAAGACAGGTAATTTGTACGAGGGCATAGTAATGACTCCGCAAAGGCACTATCGCAGATTTGCGGTTGTGATGTGAGCTAGTTGTTCCAGCAGGGATGAACTTCAGACGACAACGGTTTCGGTCTGTTCGCTTAGAGATCCGACGAACTCTGTTGACACATGGTCAACAATAATTGAGACCAAAAAGTCTTACGCTAAATATTACACAGCTGCAAGTCACTACCTTGTTCACTAATTGTCCGTAAACAGCGCAAGCTTAATAGGTGTTTCTGTCGGAACGGCAAGGCTGATAAGGAGCAATGGGCAGGTATCGTGGGCTGGCTGGCGCCTGCCCTGGGCAAAGTGGGACAACCGGCTTAGTCATCACGGCCGGTTAAGGTGGGGCAACCACCCAGGCCGTCCCCACCTACTTCGATCGGCCCCTGCCCACAATGTAAATAGGAAGAAGAAGAACAACAGCAATTATCACGGACATCGACGTGATTGTTGCCGAAGTACACCCTCATGAGGAAATGTATCACGCCTGTGATACCAACAGTTTCTCTAGTCCAGGGCAGCCTAGAGAGATGGTCTAAAAGCGTCGGCTGCGCCGTTTCCTTCTTGTGTCTTGTTGTCTCCAATTTGATCATGTTGCCGTTTCAACTTTTGCCGATGTTTCGCACCATCCTTGCCATCCCACGTTCGGACCGGACGGCAACTCGGTGGGATCCGAAAGTAGCCAGCTTAGACCTGCAATGGAAAGTGACCAACAAGACGATACAAGCGACAGACTTTGCGTTTCTTCGATCTCCAAGCATTCAGGCATACTCTAGCCGAATACACTATCGTTCTTCGGTTCGAATTCCACATGTGGGCGGTTGATGGCCGATTCGGGAAACTCTGCAGGGTCACTGCTCAGGATACCCTCCATGATCGGCGCAGACATGCCCAGCTAAGGTTCACGATTTTGTCAGTCTGGATGTTAACACGAACAGTGATGCAGGAGTAGAGACTACTTACCGCAAAGTATCTAAGCTTCACAGCATGAATCATAGTAGCGGCCTTTGCCGTCACCTTGAATCGTAAGACGCTCCATCCAAGAGGAGGGAGGTCATGGACTGTTACGAGGGCAGGGTACTTGAGGTTGAGGTTGTTGGATAGGAGGTTACCACCTACGAGAGCCTCTTCCACGCTCTTGTGCGAGAACCTCGCGTTCGGCTGTGCGCCGAGTAACCAGGCAGGATCTGCATGCTTGTAGAGTGGTACCGTGTCGTTCAGGTTGTTCTCGATGATGAGATCAACGACGGAGCCCAGTGGGATACCTTCAATGATGGGCTTGCCAAGAGATTCCTGGGAACCAGACTCGTTGGCTCCCTGGAATAGAAGAGTCATCAAAGACGAGCGGAATAGCTGCCAAGGCTTCTCATTGAGGTAAAACTCTGGCACATGAGCCTCCTTGGGCGATGCTTGAGAACCGGCAGCGAGATGGAACGGACAGCCTTGCAGCCCTGGTTTGTAGAACCATCAGGCAAAACACAAACGTCGTCGACTGAAGCTGGCTGTGGAACCTTCATCGGCTCACCGTAGATAGGTCTGCGGCTAGCCTAATACGTCCGCCGAGTCAGCTTGTACTTGGGTTGTTGAACGGTAGACTTACTGGGTATCTCAAAATTGAGTAGGCTTGCAGGTTCTGCATCTGGCTTGTGGACGAGATACGCATGGCGTAGTCTCCGGGCTCTGCCTCGAGTCTCACCAGAACGGTAAGCCTTCCAGCGCTAGGTACGTAAACAACCTATCATATGTTGTAAGCTTTTTGCGCATGGATTGTCGAAGTCATGTGTTATTACTTACATCGGCTTCTTCGGGAATTACAAAGCCACCGTTGTTCGCAACTACAGTCAGCTTGTGGTTGTCGATGGAAACCATGACGGAATGCTCGAAGCCAATGTTGATCAAGTTCAACATGATGTAAGCTCTGCCTTCCGTTCCAATGATCTTGAACTATAATCAGCATCATCATGGCTGGCGTGTTGTGATATTCAGACACTACGAACCTCATAATCCGCTTCACTTGGAGTACATGATTCTTCGGGGAGACCAGGTGGTTGGATGCAACCTGTCTCATCGAGGCGAAGTCCGTCCAGTTGCTCGTATCCCGGTTGGCGGCAGTGCACACGGCCCTTACCTTCAAGGCACGGCCCAAGTTAGTGATGAAAAGCTGTGATGGGAGTTGACTTGCTCACCATTGACGAGAATTGAATCATAGCAATAGAATTCTGACCCTTCAGCGCGCATGCGAAGCACTTTCCAGCCAGTGTCTCGATGTTGGTGGTTCTTGATGGCGAGATGCCGCACCTGCTTCTCGGTCTCCATAATATTTCGTAGCTCGATGTCATCTTCGGTGATGAGACGGTAGGGACGAAGTCGAGATGGGCTTGGCGCTACATAGACCATACCATACAAGCCCTAGTGTTCAATGTCAGGTCGAGGTAAGATGATGTTTTTGCGGAGAGTTCGCCTGAAAAGGAAAACAGAAAAGGGGAAAGAGAGCACGTGAAGAACAGAAGAAACATGAAGCAGCCGGGAGATCGAGTGTGCGACGTAGGAAGAGGCGTGGACCTATCAGCAGACGCCGCAGTTGTGTGCTCAGCGTACCAGTTGAGGCCCCAAGAGCCATTCGTGTCAATTACGCTTGTGAAGTTGCCACGGGGAAGAATAAGATACTATCATGTTTATGTAAGCTTTGTCCATGTGAGCCAGTGAGTTTGGTCGAACCTGCGATATTCCAGCGGTGCCGTCGTTCCAGCTTCCGGTTCTATGAAGGAATGAGTTGGTTGCTGTGACCAGACAGCATTGTTGGAGATGCCTTCACACTTACGCCTTGTGCCCAATGCCAGACCTATTCGGATGATTCAATATCAGATCAGAGAATGGCGCGAAGCTTGGGGAGTTATGCTAACCAGTGAATGGAAGACTGAGCATAGACGTCGCTCTTGACTGTCAATGCGACGAGATCACCCTCCTCAGCGTACAGCGTGGGACAAGGTGTCTGTCCGTTGCAAACAAACATGAATCTCCATCGACCACCGTCTAATTCCATGCCAGTTAGTGCCATAGGGCTGCTAGTAAGCCTGGCTCAAACCTGGGTTCATCCATCTCAATCCGGACTGAAGCGTGTACTCTCTCGTGAGTCTGTCTTGTTCACTGGGGGGTTGGTGGCGGCCCCAGCTATCGAGCAGCCCGCTGAGCGGGTACCCGTTTCTCCACGGTCCAGTAAGAGCAAGGAGAAACAGCGTGGACAGGCCAGAGATCCAAATGCTCCGAGTGTAACGGTTCTTCGACTTCCCTCGAGAAACGCCGAGTTGTGCTGGCTCAAGTAAGTGTTGTTTTGACTCCATTTTCGCGTTGGCCTTGGAGATTTCTAACTCGCGGGACTTGAGAGAAGGCAAAGGGGGTTTGGCCTGGGCAACTCGACAATAACAACCACGTGGACCATGGCGGCCGCGGACTTAGGATACAACATTTCATGGGGTTCTTCCCGCCCTGAGTCAGATTCGTAATCCGGTAGTCAGTTTTCTGACTACTAATCGCCCCTTCGAGAACGCTAGGTCTTGCCGTTGTCCTTCGGACCGCGAGTTTGCAACGTTGTAGCTTTTCCGAAGGTGTTGTGGCAAAGGGGCACGACCCTGTTTCGTAGAGCATTGCATTGATCATGATTCGGCACTTTGAGGTCTGCCAGGGGTTTGCAACCGATTTGTATGGAGCCTCACGATAATTGGGAGGTTCGACCGAGCGTAGGGGCCTCGAAGAACGGGGCAGATATGCTGCTTGAACTCTAAAGTGACACTCCGCCTGCACTCCGTAAACTCCAACCGATTGGAAGCATGTCGAACAGGTTTCCTTTGCGTTAGGTTGCGGGAGAGCGGGTTGGTACCCCTGACTCGGTAAATTCTAACGGTTGCATCGGATAGTTGTAGGGATACCTGGACGACAGAAGTCCGACCCGTGAAGAACGCCGTAAAAGAGGTCAATTTGGGCACCGTAAAGAGGAGTGCCGGGTAGTCTTTTGAGCGATTTCCTCTGCTTCTCTTCGGGCCAGGAAGACAGTCATGGCAGCTCTTACGAAGTGCGAAGTGCGCAATCTTGTCTTTGCTCGCCGGCGTGAGCCTGGCAGCTCAGACGAGACGGTATAGTTTTACCATCACGAACAAATGGGACGTTGGAGATGGACATGGCCGACCTGTCTTTGCTATCAACAATGAGACACCAGGGCCCCTCATCGAAGCGGAAGAAGGCGACGAAGTCGAGGTCTTCTTGGACAACCAGCTGGCCTTTGAAACGACCATGCACTGGTATGTGTTCCCCATTCAATCCACAATTGTGATCTCTCATCCTACCTAGACTTACACACAAACAGGCATGGCATTTTTTGGAACTGAACGGACCCTGGGGATTAGATACTAAACTCCACTGCTCTAGGCACGAGAAGAAAAGTGTACATTATAGACTGCCTGACTTGTCGTACGCTATAATGGCGGCACGGCACATCATATGCCCAAAGGGCGCTCTGGTTGATCGGAGCTTAGTTACATAGATAGCTGGGCACCTGTCCCTGATGATGTAAAACACCACTACTACTACTACTACTACTACAACAGGCATGGCATCTACCAAATCGACCGACCCAGGAATGACGGAGTCCTCGGCGTAACACAACACTCCATTCAACCTCGAGATACCTACACATACCGCTTTACAGTTCAGCAACAATACGGGAGCTAATTCTATCATGGCCACTTTGGACCTGCGTTTGCCGATGGCATGCGAGGGCCAATATGGATCGCACCTGCTGCTTGGAGGCCAAGACCTTACGAGCTGATATCATCATCGCCAGTTGATATTGAGGGCATGAAGCGAGCTGAGAAACATCCAAAGCATGTTGTCATCAGCGATTGGAATGCCGAACCCATGGACATCTTGCTGATCATGTACTGGGATACTGGCATTGTTCCGTGGTGTAGTAACTCAATCGTTCTCAATGGCAAGGGAAGGACAGTGTGCAATCCAAGAGAACTGATTGATGCGGTGGGAGGTCCAGGAAGAAACTCTCTTGGTTGTTCACCTCAAAATGGCCAGAAAGAATACGCAAACGAACAGACTTGCCAGGCGACCTTTGCTGATCTGGAGATATTTGAAGCTGAGAGCGGCGAAGAATGAATCTGGATCAACTTTATCCATTCTGGAGCGCACCATGAGCTGCAAATCAGCGTGGACGAGCATGAGTTCTACGTTATTGCTGCTGATAGAGAGTTTGTTCGCCCTCAGAAGGTCCATGCTGCCAATTGTAACCTTGGAGAGCGCATCAGGGGAGGAAGACACTCGATTGACAATCGCGTTGCATCACAACGGACTGCTAACAAGACTTACGTAGCATTCTTATACGTCTCGATCAGAAGCCTGGGGACTACGCCATCAGATTGACATCGCTCCGTCCAGAGCAAGTCATTCAGGGCTTCGAAATCCTTCGTTATCCTGACCAAGGCAGCGAAGTGAAGCAGGAGGTCCCCAACACAAAGTCTTGGGTTCATCTCAACGGAACTCTTATCTCGTCATCATCCGTAGCCATGGGTGAGACCAAGCTTGCACCCTATCCTGCACGACCTCCTCCACCAAAGGCAGACAACACCGTGAGATTCTTCGTCAACATGACGGGCCCTAGCAGCTGGGCATTGAACATCGGTCCTCACCAGGCTTTCCGTCAGCAGCTTCCACCCTTGCTATGGGATGAGGAATCACGTGGCGAGACAACCTACGGAGACAACACCCAAGGTGGTGCGCTCCAGAACGGCACCGTCGTGGACGTCATCTTCGAGAACGGTGCCAACGTCACATCTCAACATCCATTCCACAAGCACAACAACAAAGCTTTCGTCATCGGCACTGGTACTGGTGGGTTCCCGTGGCCAACAGTCGAGGATGCAATTCGCGAGGGTGGCATGGCGAAGCACTTCAACCTTGTCAATCCACCCAATCGAGACGGTTGCAGGCTCGGAAATAGAACCGGAGACTGGTCAGTAATTCGATACGAGATTGCTTTCCCTGCCGCCAGCATGCTTCATTGCCATATGATTCATCATTTTGCAGTAAGGCAACGACGTTCAATCAAGCCCTCTTGCAGATTGCGAACCACCGATGTAACTAACCTTATTTTAGGCTGGGCAGCAGGTTATGCTACTTGAGGGGGTCGAATCCATGGCCCAAATCCCCGCAGAAATGAAAGACAGAGTACATTCAGACTTCCCACCACCACTTCTGTACGGCCCATTGGACTGATTACACTTTTGCTGCCTAAAAACCCTCGTGTCAACCATGCAGATGCCACCTTCTTTCTGCGCTCAGACGGGTTGTTTGGGCGAAGATTTCATCGCGCTTGACAGGGACAACAAGCAGGCTGGGTTTTGCTTGGTTGATTGCCGCGGCATCCGAGGGGAAAGACCTCAAGCGCGATTTAAAGTTTGTGTCGAGACAGGCCATGGAACATCACAATGAAAACGGAATCCATTTTCCATTTTCCATTTTTTACTGTCATACCTTGCTCTGACTGATCAGACCAGTCAGTAACAAAGTACATGCAAGAATGAGTCCACTGAGAATGGGAGTCGCTGGAAGGCTGAGCCCACGTGCTGCAGTTGACAGTCATTTCTTGGTACAAACAAGTATCATCAGGATAACTTCCTATTCCTCAAAGGGCACACTGCTCCGACGGCGTTGCCGGGAAGACCAAGAATGGTGAGCCCGGGAGCCGAGGTCCGAATCATTTACCAGACCCTTGCGCTTCAAAGTGATCACTGACCAAGATCCAAGGGTGACTGATGCATATGCTTTGCACACTTTTGTTAGATAATCAAGCTTTTTCGATTGCTGACATGTTCACCATGCGTTTTCGTACTCTGTACATGAACCTTTGGCCAAAGGCGATGCACGCTTTGGCACTTCTCTGTGCCTTTTGGTATACACGCAAGACGTCTTCTCGTTCCCCAGGACTCATGAAAGTTGTTTTTGCAGCAACAGACGGGTCTTGTGTCGTCCCTGTTAGAGCATCTGCATTTCTGTTCTCTGTCTTTAGGCCTTCCTTGTGTCTCAGAGAACCTGCGCGTCGAAGAGACCCCCTCATTTTGCTAAAGATATCGGTGGTTGAGCTTCGCCTGCTGCCAGCCCATGATCCCTGAGTGAATGAAGTCCGAGCCGTGCTAGGCAAGTCGTATGGTTCTGAGAAGGTTCCAGTCGCCGAGCTCCTTCTGCTCCGCCTACTTGATTCTGAGTACGAAATCTGCTCGGCATGAATCATCAAGTCTTCGTATCGCAGAGAGGGAATATCGGGGGCATCGCGGCTCGGCCTCGCTTCGCGAGGGGTAAAAGAAAAGAGTGATACCGAACGCGAAGGGTAAACTGATACTGATTGAGCATCACAATAGTCGTCAATTATCCCCTCCACATCAGTTTCGTGAGAGATGACTTCTTCCTCTGAGATTCTAGGAGCCAACTCAGAGCAAGCGTCGAATTCGAAGCGGCGGCGTAGTCTCAACTGAGGCTCTGTATGTCGAAGCAGAGCATTGCCGAGGGGTGTCACTTTCTTGGAAAAGCGGCCGAGGGATATCGCAGAGTGTACATATGCAGCTTGATACGGATTGTCGGGTCGATGGGCTGCTTGGAAGGCTGGTGCTGGCGTCAGATACCACAGAGCATTCGATAGCACCTAGCCTGTCGTCGATTTCATTGAAACGAAGCTTGAAACGATTCGACTTCGTGAGAATGATCTTGAGAGCTTCTTGATTGGCGTGCGGATATGTCATAGTGTTTGATGGAATGGCCAGTAAGTCTTAGTAGGATTCGTTGAGTTTCGCCCAAGTTCATAATCCGGGAAGATGCCAATTATTAACTTTTATGATGAGATTGAAAATACAGCATGACATAATACTCTTCAAATCTTCCTCCCGCAGTCATCGACGAATGTGTTTGATCGTTGATCTACCGCCGACAACAAAGGACCGCTTCCATACAAGTCGTAGACTCGTAGATCCCCCAACGCCAAGAGACCAATGAGAACCTCGAGTGACGACACCAGCAATCCTACTATTCCGAAACCCATCAGATTTTCAAAAGGCGCACCCAAACCAGGGATTCAAGCAATACTCACATGCTGAAGGGTTTTTATGTGATGTCATGGGAGACGGGAGCGGAAGCTCGCTTGCTGCGAGTTTCCTATCATTACCAGAGCTTGGGGCAATAATCGCGCCTTGAGGGAGTCTTGTTGATCAATGTCTCAGATCTAATTCCTTCCCATGTGGCTTAGCGTGTGAGCTCACCAATTCCATGCAGTCACCACGAGACTCCGGCCCTAGCCGACTGCAAGGTCCGATTCCAGGGCTGAGACCGAGATTGAAGAATCGAATGCTGCGCATGTCAAACACGGAGCAGAATCAATAACTTGGGCTCATCGGTAAATTCTAGTTATACGGGAAAGGCACCGTAACGGACGTGAAGGCAATGATGACCAGGTCCTATCTGACTAAGTACCTTGTTTAAGAGATTAAATTGTGCGGTCAGCAGCGGACCCATGCAATATCACCACAGCCTATTGTATTAATGCACAGAGAGACTGATTGTATCAATGGTGTCATTTTCACAAATCGTGCCCTGGTGATTGTCTGGCGTTCGAGCTGGTGAATATTCAAGGTACTTTACTCAATGACTTGAATATGATCTCCATCATGGTTCGCCCAGGGAAGATGAGGACGTCAATGCAATGTGAGAAAAGAGTGATCGAGTGTTGAGTTATCTGAGCAAATGCACTCTTGTGGAAGGTTGCGTGCAACATGGTGTTACTGACAACTCTATGGATCTGATTGGAGGCTAGCCGTACATCACTTCAGTCAAATTACACTGCTTCAACCTTAGGCTGGTCTGACGCTGATATCTCCGGCTCTCAGAATACGGGTCAACAACAATGTCGTGGGAGATGCTAGGATTCTCGCAGGCCTCCTAGGTGACAATGACCGGACGAACCCCACAGATTAAAGTAACAACGGTGGCACCAACCCCCGGACACGATGGCCCAAGTGAGAGAAACTGGAGAAACTGGAGAGAGAGGAGAGAAATCTTGGCTCGTCTGCTAGTGCGAGCTTTCGTTCACTACCCCGCCATCTCCGCCGGCCGTTGCTCTCTGTTCTTTTCGCGCGCCAATCCGGTATGACCTCTCTCGAGCAAGGTACCGGTAGTCAACGTCGACATCGGGTGCCCTCGCCCGTTAGCTGGTCTTGGCCTCTCCGCAGTTTGAGTATTGTCTTGCCCGAACCGAGCACCGAGATGGAATGATTGATGGGGTTTACTTTGGGTTGCTGCCGGATCGTCCCTGGCTGTTTCTCTTGACTCGAGCATCTTTCGACATTGTGGCAGAAAGCGCTCCAGTTACAATCGAGCATCTTGTCTTGACAGCATCCACTGGGGGGGGGCACCATGCCACCAATATGTCTTCCCGCGTGGATCTACCCCAGGAACGCTCGGGAAAGTGATGATGTCGGCAGTCTCGCTGCGACCTCATATCCGTCAATGTCACGGCTTCAGGGACTATATAGACGCGTGAAGCTCCCCATTGGAAGGCATCATGTAGCATCCTGAAGCAAGGCACCATCTTCCAGTCAGGACCAGCAACGGAACACACAATGTTGTTCTCTAAGATCGTCTCCGCCTCACTGGGGCTCTTCAGCCTCCTCGGCTCGGCGGCCGCTTACACCAACCCCATCCGCAATCCCGGAGGCGGTGATCCTCAGATCTCGTGGTTCGATGGGTACTACTACTTCATCTCGACCGAGTGGACCAACCTACAGCTCGCGCGTGCCACGACGATTGAAGGGCTGAAGACGGCCACGCCCAAGGTCATCTATTCCGACTCGAACCCGACGCGATGCTGCAGCGTCTGGGCCCCCGAGATCCACTACTTTGACGGTAGATGGTACCTCTACTACACCGCCGGTAACGACGGTAACTTGGATGGCCAGAGGATGCATGTCTTGCAGGGTAAGTACAGTGCCGTGTAGTCACCATAAGGAACATATGCTTACAATCGAACTCTAGGCGGCGCCTCTCCTTGGGATGACTGGTCCTACGCGGGCCGTGTCACCGACGACTGGTCCCTCGACGGTACCGCCGTCCGCTTCAACGACTGGGGCAACTACTTTGTCTACTCGTGCATGACAGGCGTCCCGAACCAGTCCGCCTGCGTCCGCAAGCTCAACGACGACTACATCTCCGCCTCGCCCAACATCACCATCATCTCCCAGCCCGACCAACCCTGGGAGCAGAGCGAGGTCCCCGTCCAGGAAGGCTTCTACGGCCTCTACTTTGGCGGCAAGACGTACATCGCCTACTCGGCCAACTACTGCTGGACGCCCGACTACTGCGTCGCCCTGCTTGAGTGGGACGGCGTCACGGACCCGTCCTCCCCCTCGGCCTGGACAAAGAGCAACGGGTGCCAGCTGACGGCGACCAACGGCAACTTTGGTACGGGCCACAACAGCTTCTTCCGCAGCCCCGACGAGACGGAGACGTACATCACCTTCCACGCCACGGCGAATGCCAACGGCGCCTGTGACGACAGCCGCTATGTCATGGTCCAGCCCATCACCGCCAACGCGGACGGCACGCCCAACTTTGGCGTCCCGCAAGCTTCGACTTACGAGTGGGCCGAGCCTAGCGCGTAGAAACGTTGCGAGCTGGAGGGGGGGGGGGGGAAGACGGGGAAACGCGAGCTGGGAAACCCGCGAGGCTAGGATGTAGCTGTGAGGATAGTTGGGCGGATTGTCCCGGTTCGGCTGTATATATAACCCGCCTACCTCAAGCTAGTTACATGAATCAACGATTTGACGAGTAGAACATGGAGCTGCCCGAACTTGAAGCTATGACAAGAGTCATGCTCCCCAACTCTGATTACCAATCCAATGGGCGAGTATTGCATTTTTCGCCTATTTCGGGACATGATGGTCTGTGTTGAAGCAGCGACAGCGAAGCTCTCCCCCCCCTCCATCTTTGAGGAAAAGCCCGGAACCAAGTGCGTCATCGTCTGTTCTTTCGCCCGAGTCCATGCGTCCGAAAAAGGCAGCCTTTTTGACAAGGAAACATCAATGTTTTAGTACAATGTTTTAGTGTGAAAAGACCACATGGAGGACAGGGTAGAGTTCTGGGCAATACTGGGCGAGCCGGGGTAACGAGACAGGGTGCGGCATGCCAGCGACGGCCCAAAGTATTTGACAATCCATCCATCCCCGGGGGCAGCG